GACAAAAATCATTTCGATGCAACAATAGTTAAAAATATATTCCTGACCTGTTTAACAACAGGGGAAAAGTTCCCCATTGCATCAATTATAAGATGAGATGACAGGATTTTGTCCCCAGAAAGTTTCAGAACCTGAAAAAAAGAAAAATACACATGTTCATGTTTCTTTATCATTAATACAATAAAAATTATTATGTTCATGTTTCTTTATCACTAATACAATAAAAATTATCATTCTCCTTTAAAAATAGCATGAATGTAAAATTTATTTATAAATACACACAATACTTTCTAACAATACTTAAACTAAACCTGATTTCCCATTAAAACACTTTTAACTTTTCAAGAAAATGACCATCCCCTGGAGTGTGTTTAAAAAAGTGTTACTAGCATTTCTCTTTATTTTATAATGTATAAATGATTTTTTAAAAATATTATCATAAGATTTTATTGTAATAAATAAGATTTTTTTGGTGAAATTTTAGAATTGAACATTTAAAATCATAACAAATTTTGCTCAAATTCCTATAGATAAACAGGCAAAATTTTCAATAAATTAAAAGGAACTTTATAAATCATTTCAATGCTAAGTTTATATATTTTATACTTCCATACTTGGTCTTGGTGTTCCCATCAAACAACTTCCTGCCCACCTTATTCTACTATGTAACTTTTCTTTTTGGTAAAGTGTGTAACTTAATGTAACCCTTTTACTGCTTATCTCCAGTTAGGTGGTGTTAATAAATTTGATCATCTAAAATATCTGCATAGGCTGCACATCCTTTAATTGTCCTGTCCAATTATTATAATTTATCAATGATAGAGTATATAAAATAACACTTAAGATTGCACTAGAGTGACTAGTTCTACAAGTTAAGTAAACTCACTGCAGCATCTTCATATATGTTAATGCAGGAGACATTGTAACCTTCAAAAATGACTCCGCCGAGGGAGACAAAACGTGCCTTTACAATCTCTATTAGCTTTACAGGTCTGCAATGGTAAATAACAAAAATTGCTATGACTTGTAAAGGCAAGGTCTAGATCTTCAACATAATACTAAAACTTTATACTCAAATTACTTCTTTGTAAACTGCAAGCATATTAGTACAACTAAAATGCATGTTTCTGTGAGTTAGCCCTGATAGACGCTCAAAATTTTCCCTGTGCAATAAAACTACTAGTAAAGTATAATACAGCCACTGACCTAACAATGATTTCAACTTCAATAATAGCAAGCTACGGGACGTATTCATCAAAATAATTGAATCTTTTCTTAGGCTTTGTTTGGAAGTTAGGTTTAGGAGAGAAAGGGAAGGGAAGAGAGGGATTAGGAGGGAATTAATCTTGTTTGGGAGTTGCTTAATTAGGAGGAGAAAGTTTTGAGGGTTTTTCTAAACCCTCCAAAACCCTTCAAAAGCTTGTTTTTTGAATTTCTCCATTTTAGGATTTTCTCTCTCCCACTTTTTCATTATATTTTACAACTAGGATTTTTTTAACTTTTTTTTTTAAATGTTAGTTTTTTAAGTAATAATTTTTTTAAAAAAATTTTAAAAAATAAAAATATTAATTTTAAAATTATTTATATAAGTAAATCCATAGTTACTCTCCCTTCTTAATATTAAACATTCAAACAAAGGAAGAGTTTAACCTCCTTCTTCCTCCCTTCTCTTCCCTTCTTTCTCCCTTCAAACCTTTCTTTTTCCTTCGCCTCCAAACTTCCAAACAAAGTCTTAGCTTCTGTTTGTACATTTTTTATTCAAAATAATTCCTAACAACAAATTTCTGTTCTTTCTAGAAAGGGGACATGCAAAATACACAAATTTTATATGTTTTTAGATTAGATAATTTTGTATGTTTAAAATACATAATAATATAATTCTTACTGAGAGAGATTTTGTGACATAGCTTTTCTTACTAAGATAATTTTTCTCCAAACAAGAAATAATCCAAACATACACTAAAGCAACTGCAACTATAGATAAATGAGTCATTCATAACTGAAGACAACAACTATTCTAATTCCTTATTGGTATATAGAATTAGTTTATGGGAAGGAGACTGACGAAACACCCAGATTAAGAATGTCGTTGACCCACATATCTCCTTTCCTTTCAAATCCACATCTATTCTGCATAGTCCAAGAAATTGTCAAAAAAAGACATTAGTTGAAAATAAATTAAAAAAAGAAGAAGAGAAGACTAGGTTGCATAAATCCTAAAGAAATAACAAAAGAAGATTTAGCCTGAAGACAATATTTGAGACATAGGTATGCCATTTGTGACATAGCTTTTTGCCCATAAGGAAGTTTGAATGTTCTTTGAGGAACAAAAGTTAATCAAGCCGTGTTTTTTTTTTTTTTTGTGTGTGTGTGTGTGATTATTTTGAAATACTAAATTTAATACTTCAAAATAAGTAAGCAACGGTTCTATTCTGAGGAATTCAATTTTTTATGCAAAAATGAAGACATTCTTAATTCTGAAGAGCAAGAAAAAAATATAAATTTAAATGGAATAAAAAAAATCAATGATTCAAACCTAAGTATGAAATTGTAATTATCTATCATATATAATTTAATGTTATCACATGACAAAATTAAGAGGACAACTGCTAGGTTTGTTCATTTTTCAGTACATTGTAAGCTTGAATGAGTTTCTTCTTTATTAGTTCAATTTTTGGGATTCAGCAAAATTTATTCTATGAATAAGAAGAAAATGCATTAAATTTTGGAGCTGTTTGATGATAACATTCCTTAGATAATTTCATGTCCTGTGTACAGTGCTCTATGAATTTTATCATAACAAACAAGGCCTCCTTGTTATCAATCTTGCATATTAAGGCATGCCAAATGCAATGTATACTCGAAATGACATCAAGATATTAGTTACAGAGTAATACCTAATCGAGATGACTCTTGCTACAAATAGATTGGCAACTAAACTGAAGAAGTTCAGGAATTACAGGATTGAATTTTACTGCTGTGGCTCTTTCAATATCATCTTCTTCCAGGATTCCTACTTCCACAAGTTCCAAAAGCTCCTTTCTTGATATATTCCATTCTTGCTCTCTCTAATGATCAAAACACCACAGACAACTCAAAATTAGTTCAGTCATTCAAATAATATTTTTACCCCCTTTTGCCCAGGATTTATGTCTCAATGTAGCTAAAATTACCCCTTTTAGAACATTCCTTTCCACAATAGCAACTCGAAGACCTCTGGCACACAAAGCTGTGGCAATGAAGATTCCCAGAGTGCCTCCACACACTAACACATCGTATGACCCTTCTGCTTTCTCGGCAAGATCAGAAGAGTGAAACAAGCTTGGAATGGTAGAGACAACTTGCTGAGGTTCTTGCACAACTGCACTATATAATATATGATAAATTGTCGTTGTCATTTTATTTAGAGAATTTTAGCCTATTTTATCATGAATTAATATTTTATTCTTTGAATTAGCTAAGTTTCTCTTAATTTTATAGTAGAAAGTGATGATGGTGCAACTTGGACCAAACATGTCAAATTATGAAGAATAGTTGCAGAAAATAGCAAAGAATGGGTGGAACAAGTAAAAGAATAGGTCCAGCATGCCTGTGCTGAAAATACAACACCCTCTATCAAGGGCGTGCTTGAGGACAAACAATGCTCAAGTATATACATAAGAAGAGATAATCATACACACAGGATTTTCTTATTTCCTAATGAGTAACTGAATTATTTAATGGCATGAAGTAACCTTCTTGAGCCAAGCACATGCTTGACCATAGCTGGTCTAATCTTTTCAAGGCTTCATATGAGTATGCTCCTCCAGCTCCACCAACTTCTCCACTCACTGAAACACTCTCCATTATCCTCTGAAAAAAACAAAACACCAATATTGGTTTGGACTTGTTACAAAGAAAACTAACACATATAGCAGCTGAAAGAATTGATACCTGAGTTCTGGAGGGAACAGCTTGTGACCTCAAAAGGAGGGGTCTTCTGCTGCATTTCTTCTGTGGGAATGAAATCCCTGCGGCCAGCTGAGATATTCCATTAATGGGTTGAAGCCGAAGCAACGCCATAGCAGAAGAAACTAAAAATTTAAGAGAAACAAGAGAACAATAAAAGTAAAGTAACTCCTTTCTCACAATCTCTTCTCTGTTTCGTTTATCAATTATCATCATTCAAAAGGCAACAATTTTGCGCACCACAAGTGAACACGTTTAACTATTAAAACTGTCATTGTACTTGTCTTTATAAACAATTCTGAATTTTTTTTTTATAAATGTTTAATAATTATCAATTGAGTACAATTTTGAATTTAATATAAATACACAGAGTATTAAATAGTTTGTAGTTAATTTTATGTATACTTGTCCGTTGCACAAATTTATTTATATTTTTAGTTTAATAATGTTACTTAAAATTAATAATAAGTGATTATAATATGGGTATAAAAAAATACATTAATAAAATAAAATTTTGTAAGTTTATAATTTATTAAACGATTATAAATTAATTATATAATTTTTTGTTCCATTTCAATTAATTTAATTGTTGTTAATGAAGACAAGTGAGTGAATTTACATATTAATAGCTTTTTTTAAAAGTAATTAGAAAGAATAATTATGAATTCAGTAAAATCAACTTTCATTATTTTTCATTTTCAGTTAGTTATGCATTAATTTAAATTTATGCATGAAAATAAGGTTTATATTTTCCTGCTGTTTTATTATTCATTGTTATCATAATAATTCTAGTTATATTTATTATTTCTCTTCCCCTAAAAACAAAAAATGGAAAAGGAGAGAGAGAGAGAGAGAGAGAGAGAGAGAGAGAGAGAGAGAGAGAGAGAGAGAGAGAGAGAGAGAGAGAGAGAGAGAGAGCCAAGTGGGTAAAAACTAAAGTGTCAAAAACTAATGAAAATACCTGTAGAGAAAAAAAAAAATTAGTGCAGGATGCGGCAAGAATGGAGTAAAAATAAAACAGTGAAAGAAGCGCACACGCATATAAAGGTTTCAACTTTTTCGGATAAACCTCACTTTTAAGAGAGGGTTTATCGTTTAACACCAAGGAAGTCAAGTTCTCACTGCATCTACAAATCTGCACTTGTTTTGAACTGGTAAAGTCTCAAACTTTAGCAATGTTTTGTTTCATTTTTTTTTACCTGCTTCTTAGTTGGTGTTCATATCAACTCAAGAGCATCAGAGCTTATCAAGTATGGCAACCACTTATCACACATTCACGAATCGGGCCTTGACCAAACCCTAATTAGATTAGTGTTTTTAGATTTGTAATTAATTTGTGTTCTTTGGAGTCCGAAGAATATGCGTTTCTATGTCTGATACCTCCTTTTTTGAGTGAATGACAATTAGTACTTACAACAACCGGAAGTGAAAGATTGATGATTTTATATTGTTTTTCATCTTTCTGCTCCATTCCATGTTGTGGATTACCAGTGGATTGGTACTAGGTAAGGTAAACTTTGACCTTCCCTAATCCTTTCTTCACACAGTTTATCCCTTCCCTAATAGTTATGATATTTGTGCTATATTGGCTTCTCAAATTTCCAAGAAAAAAGAGGTTGACAAATTGTTTCCTTTTCTATCATTTATGATAAGAACAGACACAGTACAACACATAAAAGAACAAACAAATCGACTGCTAATTGAACAGATGGTTATAACGTTGTCTTTGTTTTTTGTTTTTTCCCTTGGAAGTTAAAAATTAACTGGGATTACTCATGTGAATTTCTTTTTTTTTAGTCAACCGTATTACTCATGGGAATTGAAATGGCAAATATGTTGGTTGGTTCCTTTTTGAACTTTTTTTCAATATTCATCATTAAATTTGGAAGTCTTTGACTTTCTCTTAAAATCTTGCAGATTTGTGCTATTTAGCAAGTGAAGCACATAGGAGTGTAAGCTGTTAACAAGCATGGCAAGCTTGTTGACAACATCAGCCATCACCTATTATTCTCCTGTCAGCAATGGTTCCAGGGGTTTCAGAAAGTCAGGTACTTTTTCTAAAGGACGGTGTACTATAAAAGCAATGAGGATAGAGAAATCCTTGGAGGAATTGTACAATGTAAAGGTAGAAAGAAAAGTTTCTGCTGAGAGGCTAGCTGAGCTTGGAGTTTCAAGATGGTCAGTGTGGAAGACTGGAAAAAGCAGGTTGCCCTGGGACTGGCAGGTAGACCAACTAGTGTATATAGAAGAAGGTGAAGTTAGAGTTGTGCCTGAAGGGAGCAAGAGGTTCATGCAATTTGTGGCAGGTGACTTGGTCCGGTACCCAAAGTGGTTTGAGGCTGACCTCTGGTTCAATGGTCCATATCAAGAACGCTATAGTTTCCGTGCATATGGTGATGACCATTGATGATGCTGCACGATGGCCAGTTTGGCCACATAAAGTAACAAGCATATCATATTTGGATGTTTTAAGTAGTAGGTGTGTTTTATATTTTTCCAGTTTTAAATGTATTACCAATATAGTTGGTGAATTCTTGTGATATTTTGCCATCATTTAAAAGGAAATGGGTGTCCTAAATGCTTTTGTTGTAGATTTTCATGTTTTGTCTCTCCGCTTGGCAAGATTTTCGATGAGTTTATCTAGACCAACTTTATGTAAAACTGAAGTGGCCATAATTCCAAGTTGGAACATTTAACTCTGCAAGAAGTTGCACCAAAGTTTTAGGTTCACAGATGCAAGTTATTTTTTGAAGCCTTTTATCAACATAAACTTTTTAAAAAATACAAAGGATTCTAGTGGGAAACATTTCTTTCTAAACATAAGGGAGAACGGATTCACTTGGAACCGTAGATGCATCTTCAGATTTGGCAAAACTCCCTTTGGGTGGGGCAAGTGGGGGTGGGGGTAGAGGGATCATTGAATTCCAATCCTTGAAAGGAGGCAGTGATATATCCCAAAGAACCCAAAAAGATTACGTAACAAATAAGCAAAGCAACCAAATTCCGAACATGGCCCCTTAGAAAAAATGGATCCACTGTGACAGACAGTTCAGCCAACAAAGAACAAATAACTGACAGAGAGAATAGTAAATATAAAAAAGGGTTGAGATCTTTATCTGCAAAAAGTTAAAAGAAATAGAAATTACTGATGTTAAAAATTACAGCAAGGTACCAAAAGGAAAGGATTGCTTTTGTATCAACTGCATAATCTCAATGATTAGACTTCTAAATAAATACTGCCTATTATAAACTTATGGTACATATAGAACCCATGATTCCAGCACAAAAGTCGGAGTCAGAAGGCCCAGAAACAAGGAGCTGTACGATATCCACATCAACCCCTATTCCCTTCTGTTCCTGATCATGGGGTCGTAACATTCAATTTGGATCTCTGACGGATCTCAACCACCTGCAGTTGCCAATTGATTTGCACTGGTAGCAATTGCAACAGAGGACACAAACCTTGAGACAAGGACTGCCTCGTTGCTTACAGCCTTAGATGCAGCAACATCTTCCAGTTGTTTCCATATGGTTTCTCGCTTTTCTTGCTTCTCCCTATCCTTTATTTCTTCTTCTTGGAATCTCATCAAGCATTCATCAAAAAGTGCCTGATCAGCATCAGAGAATATTTTTCTAACATTCACGGTTAAACTCTGAACAGCTTGGTTCCAATGGCCCCGTATATTTTTCTCCAAAGCAGGGAAGACTATAGGCAGTATCACTTTGCAGTTTTGTAGGATCAAATTTCGAATATGATCATTGTTCCACAGAAACAGTGCTCGTTCAGCAACCTACCAACAGAACCAAGTCAACACCAACCTAATTCACTAAATCCTAGGTAAATTGTAATTTGAACACATGCCTCCATAGTTACACTTAAGCTATCTTTCATGTTTCTTTGAATCTTTGAGATTGATTCCAGATAATAATTGCACAGCAATGCAACTCATAACACAACACAAAAATCTAAAAATTCTATAACTATACCAAAATGCAAGATTTAACGTAAGAAACAATCATATATTGCTGGCAACACAAGTTCAATTATCAAGCAAAGTTGAATTCTCATTTCATATGAGTCAATATCAGATTTCTGGGATTTCAACAATTATTTCATAGAGGCATTAAATAATAAAATATTCTCCAAAGTGATCATGAAAGGCAAAAGAGAACGTCAAGCGACATAACATCTTAAGGGAAAAAGTTCTGCAATGCACATCTGAAGGCATAAAAGAAACACTTCACTTCATTCTGGCCCAAACACATCCAGAGAGAGAGAGAGAGAAGAAAACGGTGTCATAAAAATTGGGTAATATTCAAATATTAGAGCATGGTGACATCTAGGATAGCAAAGAGAAGCAAAGTGGAAAAGAAAATGAATAACAAACAGAGAAAGGGATACAAAGATGAGTGGTCACTGTTGTTGAAAAATGCTAATAAAATGAATGCAGACATCATAAAGAAAAAGAATATGGAGAATTTCATAAGCACCTGAAAGTGAAAGCTATTGAGGCATCTACCAATTTGTCGAAATAATGGTATCACACATCGCTGAAATTCAGCTGTTTGAGTTGCCTCTAAAACTTCCTCCAACTCACCAAGGAACATTACCTCCTTTGCACTGTTAGTTATCGGCCAATATTTTAAAAGGCCTCGAACCACAGTATCAGCCAGCTTCACATCCTTCTCGACAAACTGAGTAATGCAATAAGAAAGCTGTTGATGATAAAGAGCAACACACTTGGGCTTGTGAAGCGGGATGAGAGCACGGACAAGGAACAACTTATGCTCTTCCTTCAAAGGCAAAGCAAAACCATTAATTATGCTGCCCAATATTTCTAGCAACTCTGCAATCCCGCTGTGTTTCTCTGTCTCAAATATGAACCTGTAAAAGATATTGTTGATAGCTTTTCTAATGAATGGCCGATGCACCATGAACTTCCCATAAACACGGTGGAGAATAGTCTTCAGGTAATCCCTCTCTCTCTGGTCTTCCGAGTCAAAAAGGTCAAGCAGTTTCAACACAAATGAATGATCGATGTATCTTTTAGCAAGCTTAGCATCTGTCTCTGGTGAAGCCACAAATCTAAAGAGAAATTCATACCCAATCTGTAGATGAGGCCATGCTGGTTCCAAAACAAGTTCCTCTTCTTCAGGCTCGCAAATTTCTGCCAACTTGCCTTCATGATTGGAAGATGGTAGTGCGCGGAACAAATTGGCCGCCACCATCTTTGTCATCTCCTTCATTGTTACCTCATTGAACTTCGAATTCACAGATGAAACATAATCAACAAGCTCAAGCAAAGTTTGCCGCTTAATATCCTTCTCTTTGAGATGTTTGGCAGGATCATTAAAATCAAACACAGCACAACACAAATTTAACTTTCTAATAAAAAGATTCTGCTTTTCTGAGCTAGGAACATCCCTAAAACTTGGCAAAGCCTCATAAACTGCAGAAGCCATCACTGGACCCATTGTATGAGCTGATTTCTTAGTTTGATTTGTTAAGGGTTGAGCAATAGTCCCATTCCCAACACGAGACCCAACTGAACCAGAACTTGAAGAAACTGAATTGGGTTTCAAGAGGGTATTAGAATTGAGCCCAGAAGATGAATTCATAGAGAAACCACCATTGAGCCCTCCTTCACAATTTGAATCATTTTGTGATGATTTTGAGGGCTTGCGGGGTATTTTACCGAATATCTGTTTTATCATATCTAGAACACCCACAAACCCAGAAAAATCCAACCCCCACTTCACCAACGAATCAAAGTTTTAATTTTGATCAATAACATCATCCAAAACAACGAATGAAACAATTGGGATGATACGATTTAGGCTTGCCCAGATACCCTAAGAAAAATAACCCATTCTCAAAATTTTCAGTGAAAACTTCACTCATAAATTCATAGACTCTGGGGGCATGCAGCAGAGTGTGAAGAAATTGACGGCGGGAAGAAGAGAAGAGAACTTACATTGAGAATAAGAGTGAGTAGATCCCGCAAAGGTGAAAGAAAGCGAGAGAAAATGTAAGAAAATTAGAGAGATTAAAGTTCAAGAGGGAAATTGATCACACAACATTAGCCCTAGTCAGAGAATGCTGACAAAGTTGCGTTAAATCCTACAAAAATTCACGAGAGTAAGTATACTTTTACGTTTTTTAATATATATATATATATATATATATATCCCGTGTCTTAAGAAATTAAATATTATGTACCAAATATGTAATATTTTATTTTAATATTATTCAATAATTAGTCTATAAAAAATTACCTCAAATATAATAATAATATATAAGATATAAAAAACTTAATATTGATGGAAAAGTGTCGAGATAAGAAGTTGGCTAGCTATGGTGGCCTGATTAGAAGTAATAAAGGAGACTCTACAATACTTACTGTCATGCTACTAGTGGAACTTTGAAGTTTGTTTTGGAGTTTGCAATTGGTTATAGCCAAAAAAAAAGTTTAAGTTATTTAGATAGAATGTGACTCAAACAATATCATCTCTTTAGTGATTAATATTTAGAATAGTAGATATCATTTTTACTTTGTTATTAAGAGTATTAAGGATCTCTTTAAAAAGATTAAATTTGTTAAAATTAGCTATACTTTTAGATAAACAAATAAGTGTGCTAACTGTTTAGTTAAATTAGGCTTTGAGTTTAGTTTCTTATGTTATTTTTAACTGAACTCCTTTCTCCCTCGAACCTTTCTTTTAAGGCTGGATTCTGTAAAAACTGTGTGATCTAGGCCTAGTGCCTAGCTTGTTTTACTTTTGAGCTTTTGTCTCGTTTTATATAAATAATAATAATAATTAGTCTATAAAAAATTACCTCAAATATAATAATAATATATAAGATTAAATAAATTTTTATTTATGTTATATTAAATTTTTTACAAGATTATTTAATATTATTTTAAGTATTATAAAATTATGATTTTAAATAAAATTTTCACATAAAACTAAAATATAATTTTATTAAATTATAAATTAAATAATTTTAATATATATAATAATTATATAATTAATATTTAAAATAAATTATTGTATGAAATTAAAATATAAAAAATTAATTTAAAAATTTACTTGTACGTATCTTGATATTTTAAATTTATATTATGCTAAATATTAAATATATAAAACAATAGATTAGTCAAATAATTTATTTATATCATTCCTTAGAGTTTTACATAATATTTGACAACGTTAATAATTTTTTTATTAAAATAAATTTATATTTTTATTATAAATAACATAAAAATACTGTATGAAATTGAAATGAACTTTATCTTTTGAAAAATTATTATTACTGTCTTCCACATCATGAACATATGAGATGTGTTTGAAAAAATTACCTGACAAAATCTTTAAAAGATAAAAAAAAATTGAAATTTTAATAAAAAGATAAAAATTGAAAAATAATTAAGTAATAAATATAAAATTATAAATAGAGAAATCATTAATTATTATACTATAGTTTCAAATGTTTTAATTATATTTTTAATATTTTTTTAATCATTAATCATCTTAAACATTATTACAATAATTTTTTATTTTACTAACACTTTTTAAATATTTTTATCAAATAAAATGAGATAATACAAATAATTATTATTTTTTCATTTTCATATCATAAAAAAATTTAAATAATCTATATTATTTTAAACATGACAAAAGTAAAAGTATTTAAGTTTTTAAAATTAAATAAGTAAAAAAAATCATTCAAATTTGATAAGAATAAAAGTAAAAAAAAAAAAAAATACTTGCAATCAATAACAGCATTAAAAATAAAGCCTTTTTTTTTTTTACCAAAATTAAAATTATTATCATTAAATAAAATTTTTTAACTAATACTTCTTTTAAACTAGGTAAAATAACTTATAACCTAGCTTATTTCTCTTGATTTGTTCAAATACCAAAAAAGGTTTAATGGGTAATCACTAAGCAAAACAATAAAGTCGTTAAAGAATTCAGTGTTACATTTGATAAGTGCCTAGTTTGAGTAAATGCTTGCATGAATTTGAGCACTTAATTATTTCAAAGTTATGAATTTAAACATCAATTCCTTTTTAATAAGTAGAAATTGAAGTTAGTTGGCCTAGTTGAATTGGAAATTGAGATTAAGGTTTATTTTAGTCTTTTTTGTAAATTTATTGATTCTCACCAGCTTGTTGAGGAGAGAAGGCAAATGATACTTAGATTTTTTTCGCTTAAGCAAGAATTTCTCGCTTAAGTGAGAAAGTGTGCACCATAATAGAGCTTTTATCTTATTTTTGCTCAAGCGGGGACTTCTCGTTCACTTGAACAAAAATTCATTTATTCTAGTTTAAATAAGGAGAATAAAAAGGAAGGGACATCGAGAGGAGCGAAAAACACACCATAGAGGAGATAATTATGGCAAGAAAGATTAGAGAATCATTTACCTTATTTCTTTTCTTTTTTCATTGCATTGTAATGGCTACCATGAGTAACTAAAACCCTTGTAGGATTAGATGTAATATTCTACTCTAAAATATTTTGATGATTCATTTATAATATCTCTTTCTCTTATAAATATTGGTGGTTTCATTGGTTCTTAATGCTTGATTCTATTTCTACAAAATAGTCTTTTGATTTAAGGTTTAAGGTTTAGTTAAAAAACAAATTTTAAAACTGAATTCACTAAAACCTACTCAATGTATTTTGATTTTAGAGATAGATTTCAATATATCGATTGCTTATTAACTCATATTTTTAATGTTGGAGGATTGATTGAATAGTTGAAGAATCATTATTCATTAAATGTTCTTAGAAATTTTGTATGTGAGGAATCAATATAAGAAAATATTGAAAGAGTGCTTCTACATTTATATATTCATAACTAAATATTTTATCATCAAAATATGAAAGAGAAAGAATAATAAAATTCAATCCCAACTCAACTCATAATCCTTTTTCTACTAAAATTTACTTTGTTTCTTAGATAATTATATTTTTAATTTATAATCAAATTGTGAATATTTATATCCTTTTAATTGAGAATTTTATATAGAATAATAAAAATTATTAATATATTTACCAATCAATGTGAATACGGCAATCCCTTTTATATTCCATTAAAAGATTGATATACTTGACAAATTCATTAACAGCATTTACCAATTTTTTAAGTAAGAAACATTTTTTTTTTCACTTGGAAAAAAATGAAATAGAAAGCCCAACTCTGGCAACAATTGTTTAACAAATTAAAGGACAAATTATATCACAAATTTATACAAAGAATTGAGCATTTTAGAACAATTCAAGAGACACATTTTGAATCACCCCAATCTTATTTTTGCTCAATTGTCCTCTAATTTAGATAATAAATCCTCGCACATAAATGTTATCAACAATCATCCTTTCAATCCCTATTTTGCAAAACATAATTCTACATATTCTACAAATAACTTCTTCCATTACTAATATAAAATAAACCAAGACTAAAAGAGACATGTTAAAAAATATTAATAATACACTTAATACGTTTTTAATTATTAATTAAAATTTAATAAAAATTACAAAACATTTTACGATCACATTTCAGTAGTGTTAATAGTGCCCCACAGTATATGTTTTAACAATTTTTTTATTCGCATAATTGACAAGTAGAGCCTTGCACTTGGAGTTAATTGTTTGATGAAAGCAAAACATTACATCTCATTCTGACAAGAACATAGTTGCACAGAATGTTTCAACCTTTGAGCGATGTTTCAACAAACTTTTCCTGCAGAAAGTACAAATTTCCCTCATTTGTCAGAGATAAATTTCATTGATGTGCAAGCTTACACAGAATATGCAAAACAATATGGGGATAAAAAAAAATATGGTTTAATGATATATGTCAACATCTTTTCACTATGGCACATTGCATTTGTTTTTCTTTACATTGAAAATCTACATTCTTACGCAAGCAAATTGCATTCATAATGCTCATTCAATTCGCAAATACCTAAAATTTTAATTTGGATCAAACAAAATATTAAAAAGATTAATAAATGCTAACATAGTTAATAAAACTAATTTGCATAAATATCTTTAAAACTTTTTGGTATTAGAATTGATTGTGAACTCGTACTATTGTAGATTTTTTCTCAATCTACTCTATGATGACCAATTCAAGGTGCTAACAAAATTTATTTAGAGAAATAACATTTCCAAGCTGATATTGACTTTATAGTATAAACAGATAAATAATAAATTTAAAATATTTATATTTATTTTTCTGTCAAATAATGCTGTTTTTGTTATCATAAATAAAATTAATGTAAACAAACTAAGCATGGTGCGAGTGCGAGAAAGAAAATTAGTAATATATAAAGGCAAGAGTAGGAGAACAAATTTTTTTACCAATAAGCCTTTGGAATTTAGCTGCATTCAATGTTGCAGTTACATAAACTGTGTCTACTACGTTGTTCAAGAACAAGCAATATGCATGTCTCCAAGTGCGATTGAGTAGTAATGAGCCTAGAAGTCCACAAAATCCTGTGATGAATCCTAATGCCATACTAAGATAAATTGGATTCTTCTCATCTTTTGGACTACTTTTGTCAAGTGTTTTTGGTTCTTGAGGTGGTGCTTCATCTTCTGGACATATGTTGTCTAGTGGTTTCCCACAAAGACCAACATTTCCATCGTAACTTGAGGCATTGAAACTTTGTAATTGTGTGCCGATAGGAATTTTTCCAGACAAGTTGTTATGTGATAGATCAAGAACAGAAAGGCGATCAATTAGAGCAAGAGTAGGAGGAATTGAACCCAAGAAATGGTTTCTTGACAAATCAAGAAAGTCAAGTGATGTTAACATTCCAATCTTTGAAGTAATTTCTCCAGTCAAATTGTTTCTTGATAGATTCAATGACACCAATTCTACTAAGTCTCCAATTTCATCCGGAATATGATCATTAAATTGATTACTTGAAAGATCAATGCTCTTTAAAATAAGCTTGTTATTCTTGAAGAGTTGTTCTGAGCCTTTCCACATCAACAAAGCAATCAAATCATAGACTTGATTGTAAGAGTAGCCAAAACTACTTATGTAAAAATAATAATTAGTCCCCATAGTTCTAGTTGAAAAACCCTTTTGTGACATTGCAGTGAAGTTCTTTAAGCATTTGAAAATTTGACCTGAAAGATTGTTTGCTGAGAGATCCAACAGCTGAATGTCTGTTAAGTAACAAAGATTCTGTGGAAGACTTCCAAAGAATTGGTTCCTTCTTAAGCTTAACATCTGCAACCTTTGTCCCATTCCTATCCAAGAGGGTATTGAACTTGAAAATCTATTTTCTCCAAGATCTAGCATAACCAACTTTGTGCAATTTTTCAATGAAAATGGCAACTTCCCAGTTAAGCTATTGTTACGCAATATCAATACTTGAAGTTCAATTAATGATCCCATAGAGAACGGAACTTCTCCAGACAAAGTATTGTCACTCAAATCTAGAAACTCTAATGCTTTGAAACGACTCCAACAATCAGGGATCTGCCTCCACAATAGATTCTTTGAGAGATCTAATATGCCCAATCTATCAACTGTAGTGTTACTACACAAGAAATTATGAGCTTCTGAAAATTTGTTATTAGACAAATATAGTAATGCTGCACCTCGTAAAAAGGATGGGATTGAACCTTGTAACTTATTTGAAGCCATAATTACATTACAAGCTTCAAGAAATCTTACCGGCAAATTTGGAATTGTACCTGTGAGATTGTTGTATGAAATATTCATTATGCTCAGCGTTTTGGTTTGGATCCAAAACCACACAGGAACAACATCTGAGATTCCAGCATCAGAAATGTCAAGCTCATAAACATATCTTTGAGTCTGTAACCATTTAGGAAAACTAGGTCCTAACCTACAAGAACTTAAATATACATAAACCAATTGAAAAGGTGGGACCCAATTTTCACTAAATGTTAAAGCCAACGAGTTGTAACTTAAGTCTAATTGATATAACATGGACATGTTGGCAAAATAGAACTCACTAATCACACCATTCAATTTGTTGGAATACAGATTCAGAATCTGTAAATTATACGGAAATCGAATATTTTCAGGTATCTTTCCATGTAATAGATTGTCAGACAGGTCTAATGTTTCTAAAGATAGGAACATTGACATGTCAGAAATTGTGCCAGTTATTTGGTTGCTGGCCAAGCTTAGCTCTTGTAGTGAGTATTTGACACACCCAGCAGACAAATCATAAATTATCATTGAAAGATCTTCGCTTAAACTGTTATTGAACAGGTCTAGCGAGCGTAAGGTACATATGTTACCGAATGATTTTGGAATCCCACCTTCCAAGGAGTTCGATTCAATTATCAAAGACTCCAAATTGGGTGGCAATTTATCACCCTCTGGCAACTTCCCACTTAACCAATTAAATGAAAGGTCCATTGACTTTAGAAACGGGAATATACAAAGATCATGTAATGTGCCAGTAATTTGGTTGTCACTTAAACTCAATTCTTGCAGTGAATGTCTAGAACAACCAAAAAAATTAAGAATTGTGGATACTTCTTCATTCAGATTGATGTTGTTGAGGTGTAATGAACGTAAGGTACATATATTCCTAAAGGATTCAAGAATTCCACCCTTTAGTTCATTACTGGACAAGTCAAGACTCTCAAGTGGATTTGTGATGTTGCCAAAATCATATGAAATAGGACCTTCCAAGAGGTTATAGCTAAGATCAAGCTCTGTTAAGTTGGAGCTAGCATTAAACACCCATTGAAATAATTTGGAAATTGATGTGAAGGTATTCTTTGAAAGGTCAAGGATATTAAGGGTAGTAGAAAAATTCAATTTTGAAGAGGAGAGAGAAGAGAGATAAAAATCTGAAAGACCACAATCAGATAGCTTCAACTCCTCTATTTTTGGAAGCATGACAGTGACTTGAAGCCAGCCATGAGAAAGGTTAAGATTATTTACCTGACTCAAGTCAAGATTGGTTAAAAGGGTGAGGTTGGATAGCCACTTACCTCCAGCATGAATTTTGAGTCCTTCATTGGATCCAAGACGAAGCTGCTTCAAATTTGAAAGACTCCCAAGTTGATAAGGGATTGTTCCAACAAGATCATTCGAACTGAGATCAAGATATTGCAAATGAGAGAGATTTCCAAGTTGATGAGGGATTATACCCTCCAGATTGTTCATTGAAAGATCAAGATATTGCAAGTGTGAAAGATTGGCAAGACCATTTGGAATCCTTCCACGAAAAAGTGAGTTATGAAGATCAAGGACTCTTAAGTTGCTTAGAACACCAATAAATTCCGGAATAGGATTGTTTGGAAACCAATTCCAACTAAGGTTCAAATACTTTAAATGCTGCAACTCCATCAACGATGCACTAATCTCACCCTGAAAATGACGAAACTGATGATCAGCACCGTTTAGATCAAGCATTTCAACATGGCCAGTGTGTTTGCTACAAGTGACTCGGTTCCATTCACAACAATCGCTCTTTTCATCATCACTTTCCCACGAAGACAAAGGCTCAGGTTCATCCAACACAAAAGCTGCTTTCAACTGAAGCAAGCCATGTCTCTCTTTCTCAATGCAACGAACTTGTTCCGCAGCAACTATGGAATAGTTGGACAGAAGAAGATCCAAGAGCAGCAACAACACCAGAAACACTGCTGCAAGGAACTTGACACATGCAATACTTTCCATCGAGCAAGAGTCTCAAGAAGGAACCAAATTAACCAACCTTCTCACAATAAAAAAAAATGTAAACTAACGTTAACAGACCAATTCAAAGCTTGCTATTAATTTCAACAATAACTGTTTACTTTAGTGTTATAGTAGGAGACATTTGATATTATTACTATTATGTGACAACATTTCTTTCGTAGGGAAAAAACCATCAGAAATTCAACTTAATCAGATTTTATTTTCAACATTTAGCTCTTATTTAATATCTTTCCTGTATTTGTGGTCCAATTGGATCTTAAGAAATGATGTTTTGAAGACTATGTTAAGGTTGGTCATGAATCTTATCAAGACTAGGTCTCAGTAGTCATTAATCATGTCAGCAGGGAAAATATGATGCTATAACAATGTCACAATGGATCTAAATGTCAAGATTTAAATTTTTTTTAAAATTACATATAACAATTCAATTAAAATTATATGATGCAAGTAGGAAAAAATTCATATTTTAATAGAAATATATTATCTATAAAAGTAACTTCTTTTCTTATATATATATATATATATTATCTGGAGTTATATAAATTTTACATTATATGAGAAATAAAACCTCGTAATGAAAAAAAGTTTTGTTGTGTACAAAATATATACTCACGATTATCTATTTGTCTCTTAAAGATTTTGTTGATAAATGAGAAAAAAGAAAAACTAACAGTACCTAAAATGAAGATGAAGTTATAGTCGAAGCTGTTCACTGCTGTCCATGGAAACATTTTTGTTTAAAAAGTAAACATTAATGATATTATATGACTTTTCTTTCTTTGGAAAAAATTGTTAAAAATGGTATACAATTCAATATTAATTAAATAACTGAATTTCATCCATCACATGTGTATTTTTTCCGATACTTCTTATGTATTTAGAGTTAAATAAATTTTACCTTAGATGAAAAGATGTAAAAAACACTTTGCACCCTCAAAATATTTGTTTACGGCATCATATATAAACTACCGTAACTTGACCATGTTTGACTAGATTTTAACTAAGGATTTTATCAATGAGTTTCCACATTTGTTAAGGAACAAAAGTTTTTTAAAAAAATAGTATCTTACTGATGTGAGTTGATCCCATTGTATTGCGAATTATGTATGAGGAGATTCATTCTAAACAAGAAACAAACTTTATTCAACTAGAAAAATACGAAATAGAAAGCAATTGTGCTGCAAATAAAAGGATAAATCATAAAACAATTTTATATAATGACAGAGCTTTTTGGTAACATTTCAAGTTTCAACACACACAAAGGGCAAATAATAATGACTCTCCCTTAAATTCTTGTTAAGAAACATTTTTTTTTGTCAACAACAGTATTAATAGTCCCCCCCACCCCCCCAACCCACCATGCAGTTTGATGGAGAACCAAGATTCCTTCTTGTTCTGTCTTGAATATAGTTGCATAAAATGTTTCAACCTTTGTGGGATACTTCAACAAACTTTTCCTGTAAAAAGTGCAAATTAAATATGAACAAGTTTCACAATAAATTAAAAAATAAAAACATATCTTTGTATTTGTAACGATCGATTTGCAATTATGTTCCGGGACCAATTTACAATTTCTCCTATAATTTAGCAACTTTTTAGTTAAAAAGCTTTTATAAAAAAAGATAAATAGAAATAAAAATAGGTCAGGTCATCTAATAAAGGTTTATAGTCTAACTTTTTTAAAGCCTAACCTATCTTAATCTATTTAATTAATAGGCTTAATTTAAGCTTTTAAAAAAATTTAATTAATTAAATAAGTCAGACTTGAATTTAAAAAATATTTATTACACCTATTAGAATAACCTATTTAAAACTCATAAAATTTGTAATAATATATTAAATAATTTTATATAAAAATTATAATATATTAAATCAATTAAATTTTAAAATAATAAAATTTTTAAATTAAAAAATCTATTTTTTTTTGTTAGAATCAAAGAATATCTCTATTACATATCATCTGAAAAATAAGTTTGATAATCTATTTATAAAAAAACTTAATGACCTATTGAAAGTTACAATATAAAATAAGTTATTAAGAAAGCTAATAGGTTAAACCAAACTTTTAAAAATGTCAGACTAACCTTAATAAAAAACTTATAATAGGTAAAAGATCAAGTTTAACCTTCAAAATTATTAAACAAATCAAACCTATTTATGCAAAGCCTAATGTAGCTTAACCTATTTCCATTTTTAGTGGCCTATTTATACAAAGCTTAGTCTAGCCTAATCTAAGTCTATTACCATCACTAGAGACAAAGAAATGATATATTTTGTAAGTTGTTATTCACTATTTACTTTATAGTTCAAATAAAAAAATAACAAATTTAAAATATTTATATTATATTTTAATATCAACAAACAATATTTTCAATAGACTTCACATATTGCATAAAAGAAAAATAGTAATATATAAAAATAAGATTGGGAGAACAAAAAATGTTACCGGTAAGGCTTTGAGCCACCTTTGGAATTTAGCTGCATTCACTGCTGAAACAACATAAATTGTGTCTATGACTTTGTTCAAGAACAAGCAATATGCATGTCTCCAAGTATGATTGAGTAGTAGCCCTGTGATGAATCCTAATGCCATACTCAAATAAATTGAATTCTCATCTTTTGGGCTTCTTTTGTCAAGTGTTTTTGGTTCTTGAGGTGGAATTTCATCTTCTGCACATGTTTTGTCAAGTGGCTTCCCACAAAGATCATCATTTGGTTCATAACTTGAGGCATTGAAACTCCGTAACTGTGTGTGCCAGTAGGAATTCTTCCAGATAAGTTGTTATATGATAGATCTAACATAGAAAGCGATCAATTTGTGCAAGAGTCATGGGAATTGAACCAATGAAATGGTTTATTGACAAATCAAGAAAGTCAAGTGATTGTTAACATCCCAATTTTTGGAGTAATTTCTCCACTCAAACAATTTCTTGAAAATTCAATGACACCAATCCTACCAATTTTCCCATATCTTCTGGAACATCTCCTGACAACTTATTGCTTTAAAGATCAATGCTCTTCAAAAGGAGTCTGTTATTCTTGAACAGTTGTTCTGCACCTTTCCACATCAACAACGCAAACAAATCATACATAGTACCCATAATGATAATGTGTGCCTCAAAATATATGGGATAATGATCACTCCATGTGGTTGAGAAATTCTTTGGAGACATTATGGTTAAATTCTTGATGCATTTGAAAATTTTTCCTGACAGATTGTTAAGTGAGAGATCTAATAACTGAATGCCTGTTAAGTAACAAAGATTCTGAGGAAGACTTCCAAGGAAATGATTCCTCTGTAAGCTTAACATTTGCAATTGTTGCAAAAATCCTATCCATGGAGGTATTGGCCCTGATAATCTATTTTCTCTAAGATCCAGCATAACTAGCTTTGTGCAATTTTTCAAAGAAAAAGGAAATTTCTCAATTAAGTTATTGTTCGTCAGTATTAACTATTAATACTTGAAGATCAAGTAGAGATCCCAGAGAGGATGGCACTTCCCCTGATAAGGTATTGTCACTTAAATCTAGAAATACTAATTCTGTGAAATGACTTCAACAATCAGGGAGCATCCCTGATAATTGATTCTCTGAGAGATCTAATCTGTTCAATCTATTAATCGTAGTGTTAGAGCATAAAAACACATTAGACTTCGAAAATTTGTTCTTGGACAATTATAGTGTTGCTGCACTTCGTAAAAATGATGGGATTAAACCTTCAAATTGGTTCCAAGTCATAATCACATCACAATTTTCACAAAATCTTATGAGTAAATTTGGAATTTCACCTGTCAAATTGTTGTATGAGATATTCATAGACAATAGATTTGTCATTTGGGCCCAAAACCACATAGGAACCACATCGGAAATTCCACTATTATAAATTTCAAGATTTTTAAGATGTTTTTGATTTTGCAACCATTTAGGAAATTTAGGTCCTAACCTACAAGACGTTAAACGTATATGAACCAATTGAAAAGGCGAGACCCAATTGTCACTAAACATCAAATCCAGTGAATTGTAACTCAAGTCTAAAAATTGCAACATGGACATGTTGGCAAAATGGGGTCATTGATCACACCTTCTAAATTGTTGGATTGCATGTTCAAAAACTTCAACTGAATTGGGAAATGAATATTTTCAGGTAACTTCCCATTCAACAAATTGTTAGACAAGTCCAAGGTTTCTAAGGAAGGGAATATTGATAGGTCAGGAATTGTGCCAATAATTTGGTTTTCAGCTAAATTTAACTCTTGCAGTGAGTATTCGGCACACCCAATGGACAAATCAAATATTATCATTGAAAGATCATCACTCAAGTTATTATAGGATTGAAAAATCAAATCTTATGATTCTGGAATTCCCCCTTCCAAAGAGTTCAACGCAATTTTCAAAGACTCCAATTTGGGTGGAAATCTTACACTGTCTAGCAACTTCCCACTTAGCCGATTATCCGAAAGGTCCAATAATTTTAGAGATGGGAATATATGAAGGACATGTAATGAGACAGTAATTTGGTTGCCAATTAGACTCAATTCTCGCAACGAGTATCTAACACAACCAGACAAATTAAAAGTAATTGTTGAAATGTCTTCATTCAAATTAACTTTGTCGAGGTATAATGAATGCAAGGTACATGTATCTCCAAAGGATTTCAGAATTTCACCCTGTAGTTATTCCTGGACAGGTCAAGATGTTTAAGACGAATTCTACTGTTGCCAAAATCATAGGAAATGGGACCTTCAAAGAGATTATTGCTAAGATCAAGGTGGGTTAAGTTGGAGGTGGCACTAAACACCCGTTGGAATATTATGGACGATGTGAAGAAATTCCACGAAAGATCAAAGATAGTAAGGGAAGCAGAAAAATTCACTTTTGAATAATGATCTGAAATATTACATCCAGATAGCTTCAATTCTTCAAGCTTTTGAAGCATAGCAATTGTTGGTACCCAGCCTTGAGAATAGTTGAGATTATGCAACCAACACAAGTCAAAATGAGTTAAGAGAGTGAGATTGGAGAGCCACTCAGCTGCATGTCCAACGTGATTCTTGTCATGAATATGAAGTCCTTGATTGCTTCCAAGATAAAGTTGCTGCAAATTTGAAAGTCTTCCAAATTGATAAGGAATTGTTCCGACAAGGTCATTATAACTGAGATCAAGATACTGCAAATGAGTGATATTTCCAAGCTGATGAGGGATTGTACCCTCCAGATAGTTCCATGAAAGATCAAGAGAGTGTAAAAGTCTGGAAAGACCAACTGGAATTCTTCCACCAGAAATGAATTTTGAAGATCAAGGATTCTCAAGTTGGGTAGAGAACCAAAGAATTATGGGATATCTTTGTGTCCAAAATCATTGATACTGAGGTTCAAATACTGTAAATGGTGCAACTCCATCAACAATGCACTTATCTCACCTTGAAAAGATGCAACGGATCTTCCCCGCTTAGATGAAGCATTTGAACGTAACCAGTTTGTTTGTTACAGGTGATTCCTTCCCATTCACAGCAATCACTCTTATCATAACTTTTCCAAGAAGACAAAAATGAGTGTTATGAGCCACCAAACCTGCTTTTAACTGAAGGAGTGCGTGTCTCTCCTTCTCTATGCAACCAACATGTTCCACACTTGCAGCTGTGGAACAGAAGTTGAAGAAGATCCAGCTGCAGCATCAACAACACCATAAACATTGTTCCGAGGAACTTGACACACACAACATTCGCCACTCTCATTGCTTGTGTCGAATCTTGGCAACAAGTAATGTTAATCAAACCAACCTTCTCACATTAAAAAATATTAACTAAATTACGATAACGGACCAAAATGAAGACCGAGTCCAAGTCATACGTTTTTAGTTCAATAATGATCGTTTAAGTTATAGACAGAACCATTCTTTTACTTTTTGGTTTGAGAAGGAGACATTAATGTTATTAATTCATGTCATTTCTTTCTTTGCCAAAAGCTAAAATCCAGAAATGCTATGCAATTTAACTTAATCTATTTATTTAATTCCATCCATCCAGTGTTAAGACTTTTCTCCCCTTAAGCTTCTTTGGCATTTGTTCCTTTGTATTTGGAATTATATAAACTAGATTTAGACCTTGAATTGTGTTAATTACTACAATATCTTTTATGAATAATTAAATTGTTACTTTTCATATATACTTAAAATAGTTGAGTAAAAATGACTCATCATTTTGAATAATAAATATTTCTTATATAATTGCCCACCATCATTAATTTAAGAAACTAACAAGCGTAAAATAGTTAATGCAGCAATTAAGAAAAAGGACTTGAATCACAAACACGCATGTTAACTAAATCGTTGATGTGGCATAAAAGAATATGGAATGTTATAACTAATATGTTAATATCATATTTGTAATTTAAATTTTAGAATTGAAATTAAGTTGCTAATAATAGTAAATTTTAAATATATTATTTTTAATAAAATTTACTATATTTATATGTTTAACAGAAACCCTTCTATTTATTAAACAATAAAATTCATTTTAAAAGAAAAGATATATAAAATAACTATATATTCTCAAATGATTTTCTTCGAACATTAAAAAATTATTAACTTAGATGCTGTTGTCCCATTGCAAGGCAAAATAATTTTGGTAGAAAAATATAATTTTAAATGGTATTCTCCTATTGTAAATTAAAAAACAAAAAACATTAGAGGTTGTATGAGTAAATACTCTCATCTTAAGAGGATAAATGAATTTAAAACATTATATTAAAAATTATACTTTTTTTTATATAAACAAATCCGAATGGGATTTTTCACTCCAAAAAAGTTAGACAAACCCCCCCCCAAATAAAATCCTACTTTTAAAAAAATTAATAATCAAGCCAATCCACGCATACATGAAGTTTAGTTCACATAAACTAAAAACCGAATAATCCTCCATGATTAAGAACAGGACCCTCAAATCTCACGATGACTTTTTTTATGTCGAATTAACAGGGATTAACACCAGCTAATGGCGCCATTAAATGTCGAAATTCATTGAAGATAGTAATTTATGTTTTATTATTACAAGCAAAAACGTTTCATTATTAGCGCCAGCATGCTAAATTGCTACTTCCCTAGTTCACAAGAAAAATTAAAACCGAAACAAACAATAAAAAAAGCGCAAAGTTGAGGTAGCAACTAAGATCAGTTTTGCGCTGAACAGTTAGATAGCAGATACTGAAGATTCAGCACCGATTTTGAAGGGAAAGACGATGCAAGTTAACTGCTTGCCGTTCTGATCCTTAAATGTCAGGTTCACATTATAGGTTCCCTGCACAAGTAGCACAATTAAAATAGAAACTAGGCAATGAACCCAATGAGTTTTAATGTTAAATGAAAACAGAGGAGTTGTAAATCAGAACATTTCCAAGACCAAAACAAGAACACTCTCAGGAAAAGAAAATGCCCAATATAGATCAAAGAGATATAGCATTCTATTCATGGGACTTCATTTTCAAGATAAGATGGTATTTTTCAGATTGGCAACAACAATATGAATAGTAAGTGAGACTAACCGGTGGGGTAACTGTAGGCAATAATTCGGTGTGAGTGAGCATAAAATTGCCCGCAGGAACAGGGCATGGTGCTTCCTCACAGAGATCATGATGAAATGTAGCAGGTTCTGATTCTATTCCTGCATATGTGATTTGATATACCAAGTCACCACTTGGAATCGGTTCACCTACACAAATAAAAGATAACCAGTGAGTTTTCCTTATTAAATTATAAATATGAATAAACAATTAAGAATTTTATTATATGAATATTTTAAATATAATAATTTTAAAATTTACAAAATTATGAAAGTTTTAAATTTAATCTAAGGTTGAATTTGAACGTTTTTTTTATCTTTATTAATATACTGTGTTCATATTAACAAATTAAAAAATAAATTTAAATTGATTTAGATAATAATAATTTTAAAAATTCAGCTTATTTTAAAAAAATTGTGTAAGAACTTAAATTTTAATTAAATTAATTCAAATAAAATACAAAATAATATTTTAAAAAGATAAAATTAACTAAAAAATTATTTGATAAAATCGCTTCGTAATACCTGAGATACAGAAATAACCCTTACAAATATTTGAATTTGGATTTGGTCTCTTAACTGCACCATCCCGTCAAGTTATTTTGCATTATGGCTTAAATTAATATTTTTTTAATTAAGTAAAAATACAAAATTTTGCTTATCTGGACCATGCAGTTCCAGCAAAAACGAGATCCTAAATATTTCCATTTAACATGAATGTTCAAAATATTCTTAATTAAAAATAAAAAGTCAAATTTAATACATGAAAATTACAATGGTGCCAATCTCCACTCATTAATAATGAAAGTTAGTAAATTAATCTATACCTATCCAATTTTAAAAGCAGAAAAAGAAAAAGAAATCGGCTTACATGACTAGTTATCATCTAAACATACTTTATTATTTTTCATTGAGTTTAAAAGCCGGAGGAGGAAATTTTTAATTTTCAACTAAATCGGAAACAAATTCTTATGAATAAAAATATAGAGAAATTGTATAAATATAATTGCTCATTATTTACAGCCAAATACTATAAACAAAACTTACTTTATAAACAATAACTTTTCAAAACCTTAAACAATTCGTGTTAAGAGTGCCATTCAAATCATTTACACAGAAAAACAACAATGAAATCCACATGCGCACCCTGTACTACATTCAGCATAAAAATAGCCCAAAAATAATTAATGATTTAATCATTTTTTTAATTCCATAAGTTTACAAAATCTTTATTTTAGTTCTTTTAACAATCATGTTCGAATGAAGATTTAATTCCATGTTTACAACACTTTGGAACCACGTCATAATTAGAGACAATAATAATAAATTTATAGGGAACGAACACAAATTTAAGCTAAAATTAATGAACCAAAATGGAAAAGAGACCAAATTTAAAGGAGAGAAAGAAAAGCGTCACCAGTGTGAGCTGCTATCTTAAAAGTGAAGGGTTCTCCTCTCACCACAGGATCAGGTAATATTGCCACTCCCTTCACCTTCACATCATATTCTGCATTCTGATCTGCATAGCATAAAATTTATATCAATAGACAGATTTCTTAAAATAATACGATCAAATTTAGTTATTGTTGTCAAAAGTACCTTTTAGAAAAAACAAAATCAACATTTTTAAAATTAAAACCATCGTTTGAAGTTCAAATTCATATATCCGTTGCCATCACGTGATGCGCACATGACAACTTTTTCATTCCCCAAAGTAATTTTGAAAATTTAGCCCTTGTTGAGTTCCCCTTCCCCACCGATTCTACCATTTTCCATTAACTGAGAGTTTAGGAAGTGGCTGCTGAACCCATTGCAGGGTAGAACTCCAGATCAGAAGCTCCCAGATATTGCATAGAATGTTGAAGAACGAAATATAATCATGAATTAAAAGGAAGAATAAAGGGAGTTTAGTTACCACAGTATTTGAAAGTTGAAGCTTGAGCTCGAGCATGAGAAGAAGAAAGTAGCAAAACGATGGATGATAGGCAGAAACCGAAGTAGAGCGATGAATTAGAGCGAACCGCCATAACTAAGGAGGTGGGTGGCGACGGTAAGTGTTGTTCTGTGTTATTACCTTACGACTGCACCATCCTTGCTATTATATAGTCATAAAATAATAATAATAATAATAATATAATAACGCGTGCTTTGTATGGTTATTATTTATTATTAAAAAAAAGGGGTAAATTTGGCTCCAGTTACGAAATTTATCGATGGACACGAGGCTTGCACGTGATCTTGTACAAGACGACGAACGAAACCAAATTCATCTTCGAAATCCCCACTCCTTGTCCCTGTCTCCATATCCAGTCACTAAAAAATAACAGTTGGTGTTTCACTCCTCCAGAATCCTCTGAAGACGACGACGAGTTACTAGAGATTAATTCACCTTTTCAACTTTACTACACTAAATTAGGATTAGTTTGTCTTTGCATTGAATCTTCAACTTTAAAATTTAAAAAATCCTAATATTTTTTCATTTCAACTCATAATTAACTGAGATTTATTATACACATACGTTGTTTGGCTGTTAGTCTAATAAAGAAGGGTACTCGTGCGCTCTCGATTTTATGAGTGGAGAAATTATAACTAAACATTTTTTAATAGATGTTTATTGTTATGGAAATGTTTAAATTATTGAGAAATACTATTTAATTTGAGATCTATCATTATGTTTATTTTATTAGACTTGTCATGTAGTGTTTGATTAATTTAACCGATCCATATTGTGACATAGATAAACTACAATAATAAATAATAACTTACATGATATTCTTTTTATTTTTTTAATTGGTACACGTCTAAGAAATAAAAGAAAAAAGTTATTTACTTTTAGTTCGTTGAGTCGTTTGTCTTGTATTTACAATGAGACCCGAACGCTGTGCAACTGGGAGCTTTTCCGAATCTGGCTCTTGAGATCGCTCTCTCGTAGAGAAGAAGAAACAGAGTGTGAAGATTCCAATTCCGAAACCATAGGTTCTTTCACCTTTCATCCACATTCTCGCATTTTTTCTTTCACTATTACAGTATCGCTTCTCTACGTTACGTGATTATGAAGATTCCGATATCCCATTCGGATCCCCATAATTTGACGCCAAATTCACTCGATTCAATTTCATTCTTCATTTTATGACATTGTTTTCTACAATCGGCTTTGATTTCGTTGATGTTAGAGTATCGGCGAACGTGGCTTGGAGCCCAAGGTTCCAACGTCGATGAATCATGAACGCTTTGTATTTTATTTTTATTTTTTTGTTGACAGGAATGGTGGTATTTAGCGAGTAGTGGAAAATGCAGCGTGCTCCGGTGACAGTTGAGGAACAATTGTTGGAAAAAGCGATTGAGGAAGAATGCGCGTGGGAGAATCTTCCCAGGCGACTTCAACCAATTGTGCCTTCAAAGGAAGAATGGCACAAAAGGTTAGAAATAGTTTCCATGTCATCTTCTGAAATGTTGTGCATTTTTTCTGTGGTATATTATTTATATTATCATTATTTAATCTTATAGTTAGTACTTAGTAGTTGCTTGTTACTTGAGTTAGTTATCAATGTCGATTCAGTAACCAAACGAGTGCTTGAAAGAGCTTCATGATTATTTCAATGAGTAATGAAAAATAACTTCATGACATTTTTGGACAATTTTAAATTTATTTCAATAAGCTTAGTAGTGAAACTTATCAAAAATAAGTTATTATTATCTTATTTTAGGTAAGTTTTATGATCAAACTTATGAAATCAACTTAAGAAACATATCTTTTAACTGTAGAAGTAGAATAAATTTTCCCAGGAAGGAAAAGCAGCTTTTGATTTTCAATAGCTGCTGTGCCTTCAACTTGAAAGACAGCTACTTCTCATTCATGAGTTTTTTTTTAATTAGGTTCTCATTTGGTGATACACTCAATTCATTATGCGGATAGTGTGCCAATATCTTGAATGATTTCTTTTTTCGGTAAATACATAATTATAGCATTGCCTTCTCTATTACTGACCATGTCAATTTTATGCAGGATTATTGAATGCTGCATAAAGAAGAGGCTTAAATGGAAAAGTTGTTTCGCTCGTAAAGTTTGTAAAGAAAATGAATATTATGAAGATATGATGCGCTACTTGCGGAGGAATCTAGCTGTATGTGTTGTGCAGGATGTCTGTTACTCTCCGTTTGAGTACTCCTCCTACTGAAATTTGAAATTGTACAGCAAATCCACTGTTACAAAACTTTATATGCCTATGCCCTTAATCACAGACCAGCAAACTACGAAGAAATTTTGCGGAGAAAATTGAAGTTTATTATGCTTCAAAATTGAAATTCGGATGTTGTAATTAAAAATCGATTCTACCTTCTTCAGTTTTAGGATCAGTTTTTTGATAAATAATTCAATTATACTACCTTGTGGTTTATAAAAAAATGGTCACTGTCATACTTTGTATTTAAAGAACTCCAGATGTAACTACCACTTCCTGGATGATGGCCACCACTCTCATGTTTTGCTTTTGTTGTAGGACATCTGCATTTAACGTGCTTGTTCTCACTTGCAGCTATATCCTTATCATCTAGCGGAGTATGTATGCCGTGTAATGAGAGTATCATCTTTCAGATATTACTGTGATATGATATTTGAAGTAATGAAAAATGGTAACTTTATTATTTGCTTCTTGTCATAATTCCAGCTGAATTAATTCATGAATATTGTGATTAACTCTTACTGTAAATAGCATGAAATGAAATTGAGTTTTTTTCTTTTGATTAATATTTTCTGAAGAAAACAAATTAAATTATATATTCAGTTCTTCTTATTAATACTTATTTATAAATTAGTTCCGGTACTTAAGAAATTCACTTTTTAGTCCTTAAGTGTTTTGTTAAATAAGAGAGTAATTTTTAAATTAGTATCAACTATAAGAATTATATATATATATATATATATGCTTGCTAACAAAAATACTTTTTGTGATTTTTTTTTGTGCTAGTTTGTCTCTATACTTAATGCAAACTAACTTGTTAGTATCTTGTGTATCATACATTTGTCTTTAAATTTAAGTAAAATCTATTAAAAAAAAACTATAAACTAAAAGAAAAAAAAGCACGTTTGATTTCTTTTTTAAAAACAAAACAAATTTGTCTAATATTTTATTTTTAAAAAACAAAAAATTATCTTTAAAAAGGAAATCAAACATGCTCAAAATGTCTAAAATTAAGGAAGTTATGCATAATTAACTCTAGTATAATATAAAAAATATAGACTAAGAGAAGAAATATTTAAAATTACAAAGAAGGTGTGGATAATAAATTCAAAGGAGCTTGAATTTTTAAAATTTAAAAGAAGTTACATATGACAATAGGGTAAGAGATTAGGCTTCTTTGATTTTATAATTTTCTAATAATTATAAATCATAATATATGCTTGATCTGCAAGAATTTTCCATTTATTATTTATTATCTTGATATTATACTTGTATTGCCTTTTGTTGTATAGTCTGAAGGTAGATAAATATGTAGAACAGTAAGGTTTGTTTGAATGGAAGATGGCCTTCAAAAATTTTCTAAATTTTCTGCTTGTTTAAATTATTTGCAGAGCAATCGTATGACCGCATCCCGAATTTTAGTGCTGCAGATGCTTTAAGACTTACAGGAATTGGAAGAAATGAATTTATTGATATAATGAACAAGTGCAGATCCAAGGTACTGCATAGGTTTTCCTGACTGTAACACATAAATGTATCCTCAATACTTTGGATTGCATGTGTGCTATTTTATGCATGTCTGTGTTTGTCTAATTACCTGTAGCAATCCTAATGTCCATGTTATCTTCTATTCTACTTTAAAAAAAAAAAAAATACTCCTAAGAGTCTTCATATAAAGTTGTATGGCCTTGAAGTTGATGCCAAAACAAAGATGGTTCAATGGCTATCTTCTTCATCAGCTTTAGTGGCGCTGACACATTGTAAAAAAGCTATCATGTTGGAGGTAGATCCTTGCAAAACAGACATAGACATGCATTCTCAATCAGTATGACATTACTTAGGAAGGATAATCTTATGAGGAAGTTATTAAAGAAGACCTTTTGATTAATAATATTTCTGAAATTTTAATTTTTAACCAAGTTCAATGGTATTGTATGATTTATGTACCTATTCATGTAGTCAACCTTACCTAATGAAATAAAGATTGGTTGTTGTTGGTGGTGGAATATAAACCAGGATAATTAAGGAAGTAGTAAAAAGAGAAGTAGAATTTGGAGAAAGAAGAAGAAACCTTGAAGGAGGAAGGTGGTTTTCTTTCATGTCTGTAATTGCAATTATATGCCTTTGACCAGACTTGCAGCAAGCATGATGAACCATCATATCAATTTGAATTGTCTCAGTTTGTTCTTTATAAATTTGAATTTAAGAGTTCACCAATTTTGATGCCATTGTCTGGATAATAATTTGAATTTGCATTCTAGACACAGTAAGTTTTGGTCATGCCATTATGATCAAAGGTAGGCTTGCAATTTTTTTATGATTCTTGTCTCACCATTCAAATGCTCTTTTGAAATATCCAGAAAATAATGTGGAAACTGAACAAGTCAATAGCAAAAGAACTTTTGCCTACTCAACCTGTGGATATTCCTGTTGAACCGTGGTGGGGTGTTTGTGTAGTGAACCTTACCTTGGAGGAATTTAAGGTGGGGTATGTCCTTCACCCTTATTAAACAAAAGAGAATTTATTATGTTGATCATTGGCAATGAGAAATAAATTTTGCAAAAATGCTAGTAACACTATATTCCAAAGCTAGTATGAAATTTTACCCAATAATAAAGAAATTTCTTTTATAAAATAAAAAGTGTCAAATAGTATATTGCTAGTACTCTTTGTTGTAACTACTATTTTTTTGTCCGATAGTTTTTGTTGATTTTTTCTCAACTTTTCTTTTACGTTAATAGAAACTCTCTAAGGAAGAAATGGCCACAATAGACAAAGTCTGCAAGGAGGAAGAAGCAAATTCATTTTCCACGTTTGAGCCTGACATTGTAAGGGGTCTTTGCAGACGGGGACTGGTGTATTTTGATGTTCCTGTTTATCCCGATGACAGGTTTAAAGGTGTGTTCTATGCATTTGTGTTTTGTTCTATTCTAACTTAATAGGTTTTCCGTTTGTCATGTCCTTTCAAAAGCTGAGTTTTATGATTAATCTTCATAACTTAAATAAGTAGGATAGTTCATCAATTCCATTTGGTCTAAAATGAGGCAACCAACAACTAGTGTCAGAACCAATGATTTTTTTGAGATTTTTGCATGAGGGTTATCATACTGACGTTTGGATTCACACTTGAGGAAAAGAATATTGGAAATTCAAGAGTGGTTGGTTAAGTCCCACATTGGTTACTATACTGTCTGCCTTAAGGTTTTAGCTGTGTAGACATAGTATGAAACTTATTATTGTGATTTTTACGTAACCTATTGATGGAAATCTCCCTCCAGTCAGGTTTCGCTAGGCATCCAACGAAATCAACCCCGTATATAAACATATTTTTAGTGAATTTTTCAAATACATCTTAAATAAATCCATGAAGTTGAAAGACACGATCATATTTTTGTTGGAAGTAAAAAGGATCTAAGTTTTATTGGAAAAATAAATTAATTAGCCGTTTAGAATTGATGCAAAGGAATTATATTTCTTTTAACATTTTACTTTACGTAAATTTACTGTATTTAATATTTTAAATACTATCCAAATGGATTAGTTAAACTAGTTGAACCATATATTGGCGATGCCTCCCGTTCAATCATTGTTCAACACAACCAAGTAGATTTCTTATATTTGATATTTAAAACACTGCATGTCCTTAGGGTTGTTTATATGAAAAAGTAAATAAATAAATCCATTTTATTATGGTAAACTTTCAATTGCGTAGCAGTTCCTTCTTGAAAGGAATTTATTTTTCCTGCCATTGAAATGTTAAGTTTATGTTTGCTTAACTTGTAGGCCTTATTATTATGAACACAACATGATACTCAAGTACATTAGACATATTGAATAAAAAATAATAATTTAATTTTAAACTTTTTATTTTGTATTCAAGTGCCACAATTATTTAAATTTGTTAGCAGACCAGTACTATGCATGATTTTTATAACCGTACGAAATTATATATGGATACATAAAGAATTAAAGATAAAAAGTAGTGGAAGAGAAACGTATATATATGTAAACTTTATTTTCAGAGGCTGTCTCTGAAGTGATTTCAATAACATTTATGTTTATGGTGGCTCAGTTTCCAGGCTTGAAGGTTTTGTTTCCAACAGGGAGCAGTCTTATGAAGATCCTATTGAAGAGTAAAACAGTTGTTTCAGTCTGTGTTTCCATCATTTTTGTTCAAAGAGCTTATTTCCATATAGTTCGAGTCTAATGCTGGATCTTTTCCTCTCAGGTTGTTGTATGCAGTTTTTGTAGTTTCAAATGAAAATGCAACAGTTAGTGAGTTGGCAACAACCCTACAGGCTGACTTGTCACAACTGCAGGCTGCTGCCTCCTTTGTGTGTCGGTTGGGATGGGCAACAAAAGTAATGGATCCAGAATCTATTATTGGAGATTCAAGTATACTTGCTTCTCCTACAAGCCTAGTCAATGACGAAGATACTTCTTTAGGCAGTCAAGGTTCTGAGAACATGCTTTTCGATAATGACTCCACTCCACAAGGCGATACTCCAGGTTCAGCGACCCATGGACCTCGTTCTGCCTACACTCGTGTTGCTTTCATAGTTGATGCTAATATTACATCCTATCTTATGATGGGATCTGTTTCACCAGGTTTATACCCTTCACTCCTCGTTTCCTGAAACTTAAATTCATTTGGTATAATTTGGAGTTATTTTTTTGAGTAGTGTTATATTTTGAGAAACCCATTTTAAGTTTTATTATGACCTTTTATTGACCGTGTGGATTAGTAAGGTATCGTTATTAGTTACATCTCATTTAGATGTTTTTCAGTCCCACAACTTATTCGTCCTTTGAGTCTCAATAGTTTCTAGAACAATTATATAACGTTTTTGGAGCCAAATATAATTAAAAAACAAGAGATATAATAGGAAATATGACAAAAGAAAGATTTAAAATCAAAGTTGTTGATATGCTATACATCAAAGGGAGTGCGTGCGTGACATACCTAAACTTTTCTTCAACTATTGGCAGCCTCTGTTATTTTTGGACCTATGTCCTTTAATTAATTTCTATGTATCCTACTAAACTATGCTGCTGAAAACAAGTGAGCTAGTTGCTTATATTAGTATTATATTGATGCTTGCAAAAAGGGAGCTTGTTGAGCCAAAACATAGCTTCCAAGTTCATGGGCATGTAATTGCGTCATTTATTAATTAATGAGGGTACATTTCTAATGCAGTTTAATTAAATATTTATTCAATATATTTTTTTATTACACGAGCTTATGTTATAAATTTGACCATAAAGCTTCTTAAGATAAGTTGAAAAAGAATTTATTTTGCCAAATTATATTAAAATAAGTTGAAAAGAACTTATTATTAGAGTTATAAGCTAGTTCTATAAACTCTCCATAAGATCTTTGAACCACCCGCTAAATCTGTGCACCTATTGCTTATTATGCCAAGGCAGTAAAACCATTTTTTGGCTACTCATTTTGTCTTCTGTCTTGCTATGTGGCTAAGTTTTGGTTTGTATGCTTGGACTAAGTCATACTTCTTGCCGAACTTTGTCAGGGCTGAAATCCCATGCCGTTACACTCTACGAAGCAGGGAAACTTGGCCATGCCAGCATTGCTGATCTTTGCAAGGATCTTAGTACCCTAGAGGGTGCAACTTATGAGGGAGAACTACAGGAGTTTGCAAATCATGCATTTAGTTTGCGATGTGTCTTAGAATGTCTACAATCAGGTGGAATAGCTACCAATAAGAAGGAAGAGGGAGGTGTTGATAAGCTGAGTATGATTACCTCAAGCAATGACGAGTCAAGTTCTTCTGTGATATCGGAAATCTCTTGGGTTGAAAATTCAGGAAACTCGGGGGTTACAGAAGCTGTGATAAATAATGAGGATTCAGAGAATCTTATGGAGGCTGCTGTTTGCACTGAACCTGTTCCTTGTAGTTTGGATGATGAAACTCATTCTATTACTTCGGAAGATGGTGGTAGTCACTTTCAGGAAGCTGATAAGTTATCTGCAGATTTCCATGGCAACGAGAAACTAGCAGCAGTTGAAGGTTTAGATGTCGGGGCAGAAATGATAAAAAGGAAAAAAAAATATCGTGTAGAGATTCTCCGCTCTGAAAGTTTGGCTTCTCTTGCACCAGTTACTCTTAACCGTTTGTTTCTTCGGGACTATGACATACTTGTGTCCATAGTGCCTCTTTCTCATTCATCGTTTCTTCCTAGACCCACAGGTCCAGTTCATTTTGGTCCTCCGACATATTCTTCTATGAGTCCTTGGATGAAATTGGTATTATATTCAACCGCAGGTAGTGGGCCTCTATCAGTTGTTCTAATGAAAGGACAATGTCTGCGCTTGCTTCCTGCTCCATTGGTTGGTTGTGAGAAAGCTCTTATATGGTCTTGGGATGGTTCCACAATAGGAGGGTTAGGAAGAAAGCTTGAAGGAAATTTAGTGAAGGGAAGTATACTATTGCATTGCTTAAATTCACTTCTTAGACATTCGGCCGTGCTGGTGCTGCCTCTCAATAAATGTGATCTTAATGAATCTGGAAAAGTGATTACTCTGGATATCCCTTTGCCCTTAAAGAACTCTGATGGGTCAGTTGCCTCTGTAGGAAAAGAGTTAGGACTATATGAAGAGGAAAGTTCTAAGCTGAATTCTCTGTTGACTAATTTGGCAAACAAAACGGAACTGTGGACTGTTGGTTATATTCGGCTACTGAAATTATGTAATGGATCAAAATCAGACCAGTTCTCTTCCAAAGGAAAGTATGAATGGGTTCCTTTGAGTGTGGAATTCGGGATGCCACTATCTAGTCCAGCATTGTGCAATCATATATGTAGAAGGATAGTTTCTTCGGAGTTACTTCAATCTGACTCATTTAGTGAACACCACGGTGCAATGCATAACTTAAGGAAAAGGTTGCGTGACATTTGTGATGAGTACCAATCAACAGGTCCAACTGCAAAACTTATTTACCAGAAAGAACAAGCTTCTGGACAACCTATGAATTGTGCTAGTAGAGGGTGGAATCCACTTATGGATCCTTCTTCTCCCATTTCAGGGGCATTGAATGCGCATCAGAGATTAAAACTTGCTACTCGACAACGCTGCCAAACTGAGCTGTTGAGTTTTGATGGAAGTGTTATTCGGTTCGTTGCTGAACTTGTATTAACTTTACTCAAATGCTTAAAGATTGCTTGATTTTTCCGTGGATAAAATTCTATTTACATTGTCTTTGAAAACATAGAACAGAAGCCCTGTTTTCTGTAAGATTCATTATCTTGATTTCCTAATCATCTAGTCTCAGAAAGTGTCTGCTATTGAATGGTGCATGCAGATCATACGCAATAACTCCTGCTAATGAAGCTGGCACAAGACCTATTAAAGAAGCCTCTGAAGGCAATACGATAAAAACTGAACCAGAAGAAATTGATAGTAAAGAAGCAATCCTTCCCGGTGTTAATCTTATTTTTGATGGTTCTAAGTTGCTTCCATTTGATATAGCTGCTTGCCTCCAGGCTCGCCAACCTATATCCTTAATAATAGAGGCCGCAGCTGTCTCAGCATCTGTACCAATCAAATAGGTAGCCGTCATTAATCATCATAGATTACACCATTCAAAACTTCCATACACATGAATGGCAATGCTAGTGAGTCACGTGCCAATGTCAATGCTACTGTCTGTTTCTTATGCATCTCCAAGATAGAAAGATGGATTGGTTGTGCACAAACTTGAGCTCAGGTTGAAGGTAAAGACGCTATTATTTTCTTATTGTGGGTTCTGTTTTATCTGTTCGGTGCACCTCTGGATTTCGTTTGCATTACTAGTTACTACTTAAATAGTGCATGATGTACTTCTTCAGGTTTTGCTAGATCAGGAAATTCAACATCAGTTGGAGCAGTGAAAAGAGGAAGTATGTAACGGTCGTTAAACATTGTATATATGACAGGAATGTTTTTGCTCCCGTCACATGCTGCAAGAAAGACATTAAGTCTCCCGTGGATTATATTTGAGCAGAATGAAACCATTGGAAACTCATTTTTTCCCAACATTCCATGTCGTTGACTGAATTGTCTTTTACTTTAGTTGCTTCCTCTTTTTTTGTCCATGTGTAATCCCATACTGCTTTGTGTTGATTTTGTAAGCAAATTAAAGTATTATGAGCGTAGAACAGCCCTTGTAATCAATGAGTATAAATTGCATTCTTGCGTTGGCCTTGGTTGCATAATCAATCTCCTTTAGATGCCCAAGTATTTCCTCGTGATCACCAAGCTGAGATGTGGTTCTTAATAGGCAAAGCATTTGCGATTAGGATTAGAGGGAATCTAATCTGTACATATAATGATGTCTCCTCTAATAAAATTAATATCATTATACAATTTTAGGAGTTGAAAATAAGAAACCAACACACATTTAGGATTATTTTCTTGAAAACCTTGGGGGTTAAAACTAAAGATTTTAAATGTTAAATTCTCTGTATACAATGCATGATATTTTTTGTATTAACAGTACCCCAAACCTTGATTTTTTACAGAAATGGTTAATATCTTTTGTTATAAGTATTTTTCAAAAGTACCTTTATAAGAATATATCCAAAAAATAAGAAAATTATATCCAAATAATTATCTTCTCTATTGTGATAAAATTAAGATTCACTAGGAAGTAATACTTTGGGCGACAAGCACCCAAAAGTGCACTGTAAAATATTGACAATAACAATTTTTTAAAATTTAATATAGATAAAAAAAATTATTATAAAAAATGGCTATAAAAATATTTAAAAATAATATATCTCTAATTTATTTAGGAGCGCTCCGAATCCTAACAGTGCACGCAAGGTAGCATAGCATTGGGGAAGTAAGGTAGAAACGGTGTCGTATGAATGAGAGTGAAGTGATTGAGTGTGTGTATATATAAAGGGAGGAGGAGAATACGATGAAGGAAGTGAGAGTGCGTGGGAGTGAGGAATTTGAAGGGAAGACGAAATGGAAAGCGAGAATCCGAATCCCGATGGAAACGCCGCTCTGATCGACTCCTTCTGCGAAATCACTTCGTCTTCCAAACAAGAAGCCCTCTTCTTCCTCGAAAGCCACAACTTCGACCTCGATGCCGCCGTTTCAACCTTTCTAGATAACAACAATAACCCCATCCCTCTAAACGACGACCATCCCAACGACAACGACAACCCCCCTAACGACAACATCGTCTCCCACTCCTCGCCCTCACCCTCCGATTCTCACTCTCCGGACTTCTACCCCTCTCCCTCCCCCTCACCTTCTCGCGCTCCCTACGAGCTCCGATCCCGTAGGTCTCTCGGTAAGAAACCCTCCACTAGTCGCCAAGGTAGAATCCGCACCCTCGGTGATATCAAACGCTCTTCTCGCGATGATGATTCTGACTCCGATCCTGATTTTGAACCTGATGAGTACTACACTGGAGGCGAAAAGAGGTATACGTTCTCTTTGCTCACAAATTCTTCTACGCTTTCTCTTTTTTTCTCTATTTGAATTTTGCTTGATCTAGACAGTTGAATTCAGTATTTTAAGTAAATAATTCGGTTGTGATTTTATTGTATTTTGATGGCATGTGGTTTGTGGTTGACTATTTTAATGTTAATGCGTGAGATGAATGGTGCTGTGTTTTTATGAATTGGAATTGTGAGAGAATGGGATCCAATGCAGTGTGTTATTTGATGCACTTCTGACTGTTGCTTTTTATTTTTGCAAGATCACTGGTTCAGTTCACAAAACTAAGCTCCATTTGTGCAGAATTTATCTATAGTGAGGCTTCGTGTTTAAAATGCATGGCAAATACCTTGTGGCTACGGCCAAACCATGTAAATGTTTTCCGTTTTTTTTGTTGTGTTTCTATTCCTTTCAGCCTTTTCGTTTTTTGTTTAAAATCTGTGTCTTTGACCAGTATACAGTGTTTTTTTTCTTTTCCTGAGAAATTTTAAGGGGGACACATCAATCTTTAAGAGTGTAAAAATTTCACCTTAGTCCCTAGAAATAACTAATGTGGGTCATATTGGTCCTTATGAAGGACATGTATCACAAGCTTAAGGACTAAGATGATCAACATTTGTAATTTTTGTACCATCAAGTAGTAATGTATTCCATCCTAAGTTTTCAAAAAGTTTATTTATCTTTCTTATTGTCCGTCATCAAATTCAATATAGCATTAGTTTCATTTGATATATAATTAAGATGATATTGCTGTTTCTGACATGTGGACGGTTTTCTGTTAGCAATTCTTCTCACTTCTTTGTGTGGGTCTTTCATGTTGACTGAAATGTGTTTGCGTTTTATGTTACAGTGGCATGCTTGTCCAAGATCCTACCAAAGGTAACAGTGTGGATGATATTTTTGATCAAGCGAGGCAGTCAGCTGTTGATGTGCCTCCTGAAAATCCACAAAACTCTTCAAGGTCAAGAAGTTTTACTGGAACAGGAAGATTGCTTTCTGGAGAGACTCTGCCATCTGCTCCTCAGCCGATAGAGGAAATTACCCACACAATCACTTTTTGGAGGAATGGGTTCTCTGTCAATGATGGTCCTTTACGGAGGTTGGATGATCCACGAAATGCACCATTTCTGGAGGTAACTTGCTATAAGTTTGTTTCCAATAACTCTTGATAGGCTTTTATCTACACCTTATAAATTTAATATTTATCTTTTAAATTTATTTTAGTTTGTTACTGTCACCACTTGTAATTTGTGAAGGTTGTTGATGTCTTTTTCTTGTAAAATTATTATATTCTGATCATTAGTTTACCTTGATACAGAGCATAAAGAAGTCTGAATGTCCCAAAGAGCTTGAACCCGCAGATCGAAGTACTTCTGTCCATGTCAACCTCACGAGGCGGGATGAAAACTACCCCGTATATGCCCTTTTCTATTTTGTCATCAGCTTTGGATTTGTTATCTGTCCTGTGTGTCATTTTTTTACCTTTTCCTTTTCCATTGACTATATGTATACAGGAACCAGTGAAGCCACGCCATCTTCCTTTCCAAGGTGTTGGAAGAACCTTAGGTAGCAGCAGCTCCAGTGGTGAAGCTGCTGATGAACCTATTCAAACAACTGGTGCTTCAGGAATTACTGCTCCAGTGCCAACAATGGGTTTAGTTGTAGATGAGTCGCAGCCAGTGACATCAATCCAGTTAAGGTTAGCTGATGGGACACGCATGGTTTCTCGCTTCAATCACCACCATACAATCAGAGATGTCCGAGCATTCATCGATGCATCAAGACCCGGTGGAGTAAGAAGTTACCAACTGCAGACAATGGGTTTTCCTCCCAAACAACTCTCTGATTTGGACCAGACTATAGAGCAAGCTGGTATAGCCAATTCAGTCGTTATCCAAAAATTGTAGGCTGTTTACCTGATTTATTTCCAGTTGACTTGAATTTACTATTCATATGGTTAAACATTGATTGATCTACTTTTATTTTATTGAATTTCATAAAATGTTCATTATTAGTACTGAGCACATATTCCATCCTTAATTGCCTTTAGTTAATATAAATGTTTGAATGGATGCAGAATTACTAGGAAAATTAGTTCCAAAATTTTAGTCGGTCGTATTCATCCAATAATTTTAACTTATGATGAGAAGATTCCTTCGGTTTTTTCCAGTGTTGAACAATTGAATTGTATTCTCAAATTGTGAACTAAGAGGCTGTGCGATCACACTACACGGCATCACCCGGAGACAATCATGGATATGTTTGGTGAAATTTGAACAACTGTCCATCAAGATTTGAATTTCGAATTGATTTATACATGTTTGGTGAGTCAAAAGCTGGTTTCTTTTGTGTTTGAGTATGAGTGGGATTTCAAAGTATAAGAACCACAATTGATTTAAAAATATAATTGCAAAGGAGAGCAGAAACCGGTCCGAAAATAAATTGCAATACAAATAAGGTGCATGATCCAACTCAATGTAAAAAAGAACCCAATCTTATAAAATAGCACAACCAAAAAATATTTTTTTGAAAATGATATGCAAGCACATGAAACTAAGGGGCCCAGAAAGAAGCTGGATGACATGTAGTTCAAATTATCCATAGAATATATTTGAGAGTAAAACACACACACAAAAAAAAAACACCAAATTGATTTAGTTATTTGTATTCATATATTCTGACTTCCTAATTCATGCCATCGAATGAATTGAATTTATAAAATATGTCCAAAAAAAATGTATTGAAATCAGCATGTGAATATAATTAATTGAAAAAATAAACATGTAAAATATTTGAGAAAAATGGAATTTCATCAAATTTATGTTAAATAATGTCTATATAAAAAATGGTGATTTTTTTATTTTATTACAAAATAACATCATTTTCTTTTTCTTTTATTTTTCCTTAATGAAGAATAATGATAGCTTTATTTCTCATAGCACTTAACATGAGCTACATGATGTTTAGTGTCAAGAGGAACTTGAAATTTCAAGTAGTATATTATTTTTCTTTTTAATTGCAGTTGTATGCTTCTCAGTGGGATAATTGGTTTTATCATTTTCAAAACAGAAGCTTATGACTCGGAGAAGTTATATTTACAACAAGAATTAGCAAGTTATAGAAAAAGTGTATCCAGTTAAATTTTGCATCCTGATGCTGATATTTACTTATTTTGCGCAAGTATTGTCAAAGTTACTAGTGTAGGTGTGGCGGATAAACAATGCCAAGTACTTGCCAATGATCTTAATTACTTAACAATCAATTTCAAGTACGAAAAAGAATAATGAAAGAGATTCCCTTCATTTTAAATTAAGTGTCGTTTTAATATAATTGTTATGTTGAGTGGCATTTTAATATTTTAATTACATGTTATTTTATTCTTCTACCCTCAAAAAAACAAGGAATGCAATAATTTTTTTTAACATTGTGAGTTAATTTTTTAGCAAACAAATAAAACAAATAACAATAATAATTTAATTTAATTTAATTTAATTATTTCAATAATAAAGATAATTACTATTTTCTTTAATCCTTGTAAAAAAACTATAAACAACAATGATTTTGAAATGAAATATGAAAGAGGAAGGACGAACGGAAGAATAGTGCGACAAGTTACCAAATGTGATGTTTCTATTTTGTGGGTGGAATAAGCAAAAATAAAATAAAATTGTAGCAATAACTAGCTAAAGGTTTTAAGAGTTAAAAACAAGAAAAGAACAAAAAAAAATGTGTGATGCTTTTAAAAAAAAAAAAAAAACAGCATGAAGCTTAGAATTAAATGGCTAGTGTTCTTTGATTTGAATGATTAATAAGGATAGTTAAGATTGAATTGTTCTCTTTCAAATACAAAAAGAAAGAGGAAGACAATGAACAATTGAGTGAATAGAAAGGAGAAAGTGATACCAAGAAAAGAGGAGTATTTATAATTTACTAATTTTTTTTCTGTCACAAAATGAGTAAATACAATCTAATAGCCAAATTATCTAATCATTATTGGATTTTTTTGACATTTTTTTAGTTGATCTTTATTTAATTTGTTAACATTAATGAACGATATGTTGAGAAACAAAAATATTCTTTCATCCTACCCAAATATTCTGATCTCCATATATTGAGCAATAATAATTCTATCTACCTCACATAAAGTTACTTCTAAAAGAAGATATTTTTCTGAAGTGAAAAACATAACACATACTGTTAATTATAAAAAAGAAAATTTATACCTTGTATGTTTTCCTCATAGCATAACCTTGCGTCGAATTATCATATTCTTAAAGATAAAAACATTCTACCAATATGGAATCGAGATCTGCATTCCTTCCGTCGTTGACATTAAGATATTGTCTCATATGTTAGACACTAATTTATCGAATATTGTAACAGTGTTACAATTAAGAGACATCTCACATTGACGTTAACATTGATGTATATTGTAAGGTACAAACAAAGGATGAAATGGAACAAAGTGGTTATGTGACTATTAAAACCTCCACTTGTAATAGTTCTAAAGCATGTATGTATATTAAACGTATAAGGAAATCCATGTCTTGGAATTATAGAATCCGATTTCTTCTTAGACAGTGACATTATGATATTTCATATATAAGAAAATTCACGCTTGATTCATGGCGATTCTGTGGACCACACGACATTAATTGCAATTGTTGGCTGAGGATAATTGGTCATAGCGATAATGAATAATGATGGGAAGGGATAAACTCACTACTAACAAATAAAGGATGGAAAAATACGAAAAAAATAAGAAGGAAACACAAGTTAATATTTTCTTTTTATTTAGACGAATCAAGAGAAAGGAAATCTAATAAATTAACATTATGATATTATTTGAAATATATATAGATAGATAGACAAGATTATTTATTATTTTTAAATAATTAAATATTCAAAGAAGAATGTTTTCATTTGCCTTTTCCATTTTGTTGTTTTTCTTATACTTTTCATCCAAAAATATTTATGACTTAATGCAATTAATTTTTTTCATAATGAATATTTGCAATTTTCTATCTTAACATAGTATTAAAATTTATATTTACTAATTAACAAACAAAAATATTAAGTATCAATATAATTTTTGTCTATATAAATTTAAATTATTAATATAAAAATGATCAATTTATAATAATATTATGACATACTATATTAATATATAATAATAATAATAATAATTTTTTTTATTAATATAATGATTATTTATTAAAATTGAATTATTAAAAATATTATGAATTTATATTAATTATACAATACACTATATTATTATTTAATTTATTTTTATGAAGATGTTATAATACTTTTTTAATCTAAATTTATAATATTTACTGATAATAATATTTTTTATAAAAGTTACATTCTCAATCTAAGCATGTATATATATATATATATATATATATACACACATATACATAATATGAAGGCAATACTACATGATGATTTAATTGCAGGGACATAATACTGTTTTGATGAAAAGAAAAAAGAAAATGGCATAACACAATATGTCAAATTGTCAATCATTCGTGTAGGGCAATGTTACAAACGCAATAGTAAAAACTGAAAGGAAGCGACGGTGGAGGTGTCCCACAATGAGGGCAACATCTATATAATATGGGCTTCTTTTGCTGTGTCGACCTCTTCAAACCCACTTTTCTACTCTATATATTACCATTTGATTAGATTGACATGACCCATCTGACATATGTGTGTCTTTGCATGGATTCCAATTTACAAAACGGTGTCGTGTTGCTCTCCTTAACCCATCTTCCTAGTGGCTAATATATACCAATTCCATCATATTAAAGCAAAAGTGGTGTATGTGAGATATATAAAGATCCAATGTCTCACCAAAGGGAATATCACATGAGTGATAGGATTGGATGGACGGTTGATGTTTGATTCCTTTCAATCACTCCCAACACCTCTACCCCCTACATTTTAAAGCCAAAGCAAATAAGAGTATTCATTGCCAACACCCACAGGTTTTTGCACTTTGGGTTATTCTGAGCCACTGAGTTTTGCCATGCTTCCAATCAAAAAACTCGCGACAAATGTTCATATCTCCCATGTAACTTTACTTGTTAGAAAGTTCAAAGATACATAATAATTCCATCTTTTTCATTATCAAAAGTGATTCATTTCTTACATTTACATAAATCTTGCCAACATTTAAAGAATAATTTTAATTAAGCTAATTATTAAGACAAGTTCACATCTTATGTATTTGCTTAAGCAACATAACTACAATCTCAGAATGCAAAAATGAAATAAATATAATTACAAGTTAATTAAAAAATATATAAAGTACGTAATACTATTTGCTAGCCACTTGCTAAGAATAAAAACAAACATTTTCTTTTAATAAACTACATTAATAACATGATTTTTGAATAACTTTTTATCTAATATTTTGAATTAACAAGACCATTATTCTTTCTAATAGCTACTGATTTTACTTTTTTTTTCTCAGCAAATCTTCTCACTCCTTCATTTCATGATCTGGGTGTGAGATAGCCAACAATAGTACGCATAAACAGTAAACAGTACAGATGAGCAGTGGTAGTGCATAGACCTAGGAGGTGAGTTTCACAGCATACACACACACACATCTTTCATTGGGAAGGAAAACTCTGAGTTAAGTTGCAGAGACACACGTTAACCCTGCGTGTAGCCTCTCTGTCTCCACCTGCATTTAACACACAGCACTGCTAGTTTTTGCGTTTATGTGTAAGAGAGAGATTAAGAAGCAACACTGTTTATGCACAGAAGGAAGAAGCTAGACTACTCATTCCCAAGGGAGGACTCTGAATCTGAATCTGATTCCACAACCTTTTACAGGCTATAGAGCCAAGAACCCAAAAATCCCTATTGTTCTGACTGATCAACCATTTAGGCTCTTTGGAGTTTTCTACAAAAAAAGACTCAGATTTTTTAGCTTCATTTCCGGGAGTACTCTCTGGACAATTATATGCAGTCCTCTTTTTGAGAAAACAGTGAGGTGGGGACTAGAAACAACTGATCCAAGCCAAAGAGGTAGTGTTATATAGTATGTAATGTAATAAATGCATTATATATATATATGTGTGTGTGTGTGTGTGTGTGGAGTTTTATATAGACAGGGAAAGATAAAAAAAAAAAAAGGGTTCTTCCTTTGAAGGGATAACAGAAACTTTAAAACTATGATAGGGTTTGGAGGGAACAGTTGCAGTGAGCTTTCTTCGATGGACATGATGAACATGGAAACTAATAGGAAGTTTCTTTCTCTGCCTCTGAGTAACAACTCTGGTGCCCAAATGCGCAGTGATAATAGAAGGGTATCTGTCACTACTAGCATCGCTCAGGATCATAACTACACTCACCAGAACCACACCGACAATTGCAGTGTGAGGGATAAAATCATGGCACACCCTCTTTTTCCTCGTCTCTTGTCCTCTTACCTCAATTGCCTCAAGGTGATGTGAACTCATCTATAATTATTCTTACCCCATATTCACATAAATACCCATCTCTTTCCCTTTCTTTCTATGACAACTTGTCCATATGTGATCATGCACATGTATATATGTATTCACCTATTCTACGAGGTTTCCAATTTTGTTGAGATTTTGTTTATTTTATTTTGATGCTTCGCTTGTTTTTGATGGTGTGAATGGAGTATATATTTACAGGTCGGGGCACCTCCTGAAGTGGTGGCTAGCTTAGAGGAGTCATGTGCTAAATGTGAATCCTTCAATGCATCATCAGGAAGGACAGGAAGTGGTTCAATAGGGGAAGATCCAGCTCTGGACCAGTTCATGGAGGCTTACTGTGAAATGCTCATTAAGTACGAGCAAGAGCTCACAAAACCCTTCAAAGAAGCCATGCTTTTCTTCTCAAGAATTGAGTGTCAGCTCAAAGCCCTAGCAGTTTCAACTACAGACTTTGGTGATTACCCTTAAATCATTATTTGTTCCTAAACGTCTGAAAACTGTTTGGGGAAGTGGGTGCAAGTGAGTTACCAAGATTGAGTGTTGTGTGAGAGAGAACTTAATTAGTAGTCCATGATGTGTGATCTATGGGAGAGAAAAGAAAAACGAATCAATTAGCAGCACTGACATGGATTGTTGTTTTACTACTATGAAAGACCTAGAAATCAACCCTCTGAGGAAAGGTTTTGGTAAGAGTCTAAATAAGTAGATGAATCATGGTTTAACTTGCTGTCCTTAGACTAGTGCTAGTTCTCCTGTGTCTGATCTCTATTTCTTCAAACCCTTTGCGATAATATAATGCTAGCCTTGAAGGGATGACTTTGCTAGTTACTGCTCATAGATCTTCAGAAGCAACGTCTTTCAAAGCTTAGTGTTGCATTAAATATTATTAATTGGTAGGGTAATGATAACCACACAGCTGATGGTGCAATTGTAATACCAATAAAATAATAATAAAAAAAGAAAAGCCGCTCTGCGTCTACTGGATGTGTGTTTTCAATTATAAAAATGATTTGATACCAATGTTTATTTGTTTATTCATTTATTTTTTTTCATTCTAATATCTTCTGAATAAGTTATGAAGTGTCAGTCAAATGACCCTTCTCATCATATATAAATAGTGTGACTAGAGGTATAACGGAGCTTGATTAAAAAACTTAACAGTATATTTAAGATTGTTAATGATAATGGGTCCAAGGTGTTTTTGAACTAGGTCAAAAAGTTTGAAAAAGATTATGAGTCAATATTACTGTTAGCTTAAGGGAATTCAAGAAAATGAGGTATTTTTTCTCTAATGATGAAAAGTTTATCTAAACCCCAATGCTTCCTTATTAAGTGACCCATTGATAATCTTTGTGGCTTTTCGGATATTTTAAAGGGATCTTTCTTTTTGGTTCGGTGACCTTGCTGTGTTGCCCATTATTTCACATATACTCAGTGTGTTGTCACCTCTTGCAAAGCATTAGTCCTAGCTTCTTTCTTCTGTTTAATTCCTTCACTTCGTTTAGTTGCATGCATGGCTCTCTCTTCACAGCCTTTTAAGAACTTAGTAGAAAAAGGAAAGTGTTTGTCTTATCTTCTGTTGCCATGTTTCCTTGTCAATTTGTTCCCCCTCTCTGTGATTTAAATCTTAAAACCAAAGTAAATTTTTAATTTGCATATTTTGTTATTTTCCCTCTTCTTGTATGCTCTATTTTGGTGGAGGAAGGGGTTACATTTTTAGCTGTCAATTATGAGCTATCTTTTTTAATGTATTAACTTTCTCATTTGAGTAATGGTTGTAATCTTGATAGTTCTTTTGCAATATGAAATCAACTACATGCATGGTTAGATACATTAAGCACTGATCAAAAGTTCAGTATTATGGAGTTGCATATTTCTTTGCAAATTTTTCCAATTTATTGATATAGCTAGTGTGTAATATGGAAAATATGTTAATCAAAATTAGTTTTTAAAATGTCTGTCATTCCGTAGGTGATGCATGTGATTTGATAATTTAAGAAAAGAACATAAATACTTAGAATAATTTTAAATTTTCTTAACCCTTATTCATATAAATCCTTCTAATTACTAAATAAAGAAAATATTAAATATGTTCTATATTTTGAAGATAATAAATACACGTACTTTTTCGATTAATATATATTTTATGAAATAGTAGAATAATTATTAGAAAGGTAAGTAGGAGCATGTAGCAAAGCTGTGTTTACTTAACACACTGCCTCATTTAGGTGATATGTTATTCCTATTGAATTTAGCATCGATGTATTAAATGTCAGTTAGTGCATGATAGTTCATGATTGCTAGAGCTGACATACTCTACCTGGATATTTATTTGCATGAATTGTTATTACTGATGGGTCTATTTTTTTTCCATTTTGTTGTGGCAATTTGATATTAAGGTCAAAGTGAATCATCTTCACTGAACGAGGTAGATGTGCATGAAAACAACCTTGATACTCAAGCTGAAGACCGGGAACTCAAGGTCCAGCTTTTGCGCAAGTATAGTGGATATCTAGGAAGCCTCAAGAAGGAATTTTTGAAGAAGAAAAAGAATGGAAAGTTGCCAAAGGAAGCTAGGCAACAGCTACTTGATTGGTGGAACAGGCACTACAAATGGCCTTATCCTTCGGTAACTAAGTTCTACATCCTTTATAATCCATACATAATTCATGCCTCTACAATATTTCTTAACCTATATCACACTAAATGTTCATATTATATATTCAATAATATACACTTGAGCTTTGTTCTGATCACTTCTGAAAATGGTGCTATAGCTGTTGGTATTAGAAAAAATGAAACATTAAATTGTTGTATGTTGGTGTCAACAGCCAATTGTGCATTAATTCGTAAGTAGTTAGTATTATTATTATTATTATTATTATATCAGAAGACTAATCTCATGATAATGGCTTATGTGATTTGGATGCAAATTTAGGAATCCCAAAAACAGGCACTTGCAGAATCCACAGGCCTAGATCTGAAGCAGATCAACAACTGGTTTATCAATCAGAGAAAACGCCATTGGAAGCCATCTGAGGATATGCAATTTGCCGTGATGGATGCAACTAACTACTACATGGAAAATGTTATGTGCAAGCCATTTCCCATGGATGGCATGCCTATGCTTCTTTAACACAATCCTCTCTTCAAATATTCTAAAGCTTGTATCAGAACTTAGCCGAAAACCCTATCTATTTTTAAGTTACCTAGCTAGGTCGCGAAGCTGCTTCTATAATATGTCATTGATGCATGTTGTAGTTTAATTTGTAGAAATCAGGATGAAAAATCTAAGTTAACTATGTGAGCGAGCATGAATCTAATTATATGGTGTTGTCTACAGTACACTATTTGTCTAGCATCGCAAAAGATGCCGTGTATGTTCTATTTCCTATAATTAAGAAATGTAATTTGTTTTCCTATATAAACGAAAATGCATATTTTCGTGCATCACATAATTAGGTTAGTTAAGCAAAGCTATTCAACACATTAATTGTTCTTGTATTTATCGTTGTGTCCTACATAAAAATGTTGGATTCATGATCTTTTGATTAATAAGATGTTTTGATTAATAATATTTTTAAGAATTTGATTTTAAGGGTTGAAAAATTTTGGTTGTTATAGCATAAAAATTTTGGACACGTGGATGATGTCTACTATTTGCAATAGATACGATTGTGTTATATCGATGTGGTTGTGCCGTAATATATTGGCATGTGGGCCCTCATCATTGAGCTTTTGGTGTTGTAACTAAGGATTGTCATCCTTGAGATCGAGTCTGATTCGTTATACGGTGACGAAAGCATGTGACTCTTTTCTCGTTTTGTGTTCTTATGATTGATTCAAGTTCTGGCTTCAGATCCATAGGTAGAAGCTAACAGGTTCCTATTATTATGCATGAAAGGTAATAGAGTAGCTGCTTTGTTGGATAGCTAACCTAGTTTTTCGGCGTTAACTAAATAGCAACCTAATAATTCTTTATTTTTATCTTACTGTAAACCATGCTGATTTTCTTTCTCCTCCGGGTTTTGCAGTTTGCTACTTCTCCTTAAAGGAAAAAAAATTTGTCTTAATAGGCGTGTGCATAGGCAAAAACATATTTTTCTTTTCTTAAACTCAAATTTCTTCATTTAATATTAAGTTAATGGAGTATATGAAAGTTATTATGGTGTCCATTTTGGTTTACTTGGAATTAGGCTATCTTAAATAAATCAAAACTCTGGATTTGGTTAAAAGCTAAGTTCGATAGGTTCATGTTTCAAGCTAATGCCTAAACCCTGCTGCATGTTTGAACTTCTTTTGAAGGCTGTGTGGTTATGATGATGTAGTGTGGGATAGGAGTGATTTACTTTTGTTGTCATCAAGTGTAGGTCTCTGTAATGTGAAACTTAGAACTTAATAGGTTTTAGTATCCGCAGTCACTTATTAATGAAAATCCTTTTGCTTATTAAAAAATGTAAATGGAATATCTGTAAAGCACATTTGCAAATTACAATTTCTTTTATCAGCAAAAAATGAGTTGTTTGTCTTATAGTTGAAAAATTAATCTGTATACTTTTTAAGAAAATACAATGTTACAATAAAAATATGTAATTCAAATCAATTTATATGTGCATCTTAATTATATTTAATGGCTCAAAATTGATTTTATTCAATTTTGAATAAAACAAAGTACATGTAAAATTGATTGATCTCCCAGCCAATTAAAGCATTGCTGCAAATTTGTATAAGAGAACCTACACATAAACAAGACATGTGTGGTTGTCTCCACTTCATTGTGGCACAAGAACCGTCTAAGATTGTTTATCCTACCAAAAGACTTTGCAAGATTTTCTTTTGTTTGTAGTCTTCCTAACAGCATCTTCCTCACAAATGGCAAAATACTGTTTAAATAATATTTTAAATCATAAATGTAGATTTATATCAGCCTTTCTTTTAAAAAAATTAGGTCATAAAATAAGTTTCTTAAAGACAAAATGGCAGTATATTCGTATTTTAAAGATTTTGTTATCTAGTTCATAAAAAATGTAAAACATGACACAAGAGAACAGTTCTTATTTTTAGACGCCAGAGACAGTGATAACAAAGTGAAGACTTTAAGTATCATTTGGTTTGAGAAAATACTCTCTTTTTTTACTTTTAATTATGAAAGTAGTATATTATTTTTATTTTACATTTTCAAATATTTTGTATAAAAAAGTGAGAATAATGATATTTATTATACATTTGCAAATAAAAATAAAATAATATTTATTGAAATCAACAATTCCTTAGCTTTAATATTTACATGAAAACGGGCAAAAATAATTTTCGAAGGGTGATGCTTTTCTTCGTTAACTAGTCACCTGCTAAGCTTATAATCCATCAGTTAATTTATTTATTTTATTCATTCAAAATTTATTTATATCAAAATTAAGGAATTGATACTTTTTTTTTTCTATCAACTTCTTTCCAAGTAATAATTAGTTTGATTTTCCATAAATAGTCTCAAGTATTTGAAAAACGTTATCCCTTGAAAAGCCCATCGATTCAATTTGAATTGGCCGATGCCCAATGTAATTTCTTCTTGAAGACCCAAAAATTTCTTTAGTGCCTCAAGAAATTACTACAACTAAAATCATAAATTAAAACTCATACAACTCTTATATATCTACATATCACATAATCACTCATATTATCATACCAATGTGTTGTAAACATGGTTGGATTTGCAGATATGTCAATGGAGTTGTTTAGTTTATTGTGTTTTATAACACAGATGGATGTCAAGAAAAATATAAAAGGTGTTGAATTTAAACATATACATATATTAATAACTTTTTATAAAATGTAAAATTAATCAATCTAATTATTGATTTTATAAAGTTTTTATCAACTTTACAAAATTTCATAAAATAAAAATAAAAATTATATTACATTAATTCATTTTAACAAGTAATATATTTTTAAAATAAAAAAATATCAAAATTTAGATCTTGGGTTTGGGTTATTATGAAATTTTACGCTAGACCCGACCCGAACCCATGTCATTATCATAGCTCAAAACTGTGCGTTGTGTTCTGCCTTGAGGGGTTTTCAATTTCACACTTAGTGTTCGTAGTTACGTACCCGATTGCGACCCCCCCTTTGACAATACCGTCGCTGGTGTCCGCATTCCCTTCACGCCGATAACCTCTCCCTTCGCGACTCAGTGGTTGCTCCTCGCTCACGCTTCACGGTAATCTCTTCTCTCATTTCGATTCTTTTTCTGAAACCGTTAAACAATATTACATGGAGTTAGTTGTTTTAGCAGTTCCAGTTTGTAATCATGTTCTAGTTTGTATCAATGACTGAGTCTCCTTTAATCATGAAAAATGATGGTTGATGCCTTATGTTGATTGGGTTATTGGGATTTTGAGGAATTAACAAACATGCAGAGTTGTCTACTACCTGTTTGATGAAATGCCTGAATTAATGTGTGATGTGTTGTGATGGTTGAATTTGTGATAGTATGAATCTTTGATTAACTAATAATTTATTTATTTATATATATATATATATATATATATTTATTTATTTATTTTGCATTAATTATTAAGTTTGGCTATGTAGTTGGAAAGTATAAATTATGTTAATTTGATATATTCTTGATGCTTTTGTGATTTCAAGCTGAAGGCATGAATGCATTCAAGGCATACAAGGCATGTGTCCCAATTGCTTGGAGCCCCAATCTGTATATAACTCTAGTGAGGGGCATTCCGGGAACCAGGAGGCTTCACAGGCGTACTTTGGAGGCACTTCGCCTGCGCAAATGCAATCGAACTGTCATGCGATGGAACACGCCTACTGTTAGGGGAATGCTTCAACAGGTTTTAACAAAGCTCTAAACAGGTTCATTTTCTGCCTGAAATGACTTATCTCTCCGTATTCTAATATTGGTAGACTTTGTAATTAATATAGGTCAAGAGGTTAGTTGTTATCGAGACAGAGGAGATGTACAAAGCCCGCAAACAGAAGGTGGAAGCTCACCGAGCTCTACGTCCTCCATTGATCATAAATCACAAACCTCCTTCGGTTACTGATGTTTTATAAATCTGCGGTGTTCCCAAAAATATTGTCTTCTTACTGCTGAAACTATCAAATGCTGATGTTTAAAGCTTTGGTCTCAAATGGACAAGTTATTGCTTTGAAGATCATGTTGCAGTTTGAATCTATAATTTTGTAGTGTTTTCTACTGATAACAATAGTCAAATTCAGGCTTCTGCTATGAAATCTGGCAATCAAGGGGTTCTTTTATATATTTATTTATATCTTCAGTTCAGGAATCATTTGTTTCATAATTGCTCTTTTCTTTTTGAAACAACTTACTATCTAGTTTGGCTTATATGTGCATATCAATACTTAATAATACATAACGATTGCCCTAGTTAAATAGGATTTACAAATCACTAAAAATTAACAAACTTGTGGCATAATATGTAAGTTCTTGCACACCAAATATAGGGCCAAACAAAACGAGATTTTAAGACTGTATCCTATGCTTCTTCCTTCCCATCAAATCCATTCATCATGTCATTTGTACTCGCAAGCTCTTTCTCTGCATCGTCATTAGGTTTTACGTTGTGCTGTATTTTGTACTGATGCCTCCTTGCTAAGACAAGAAAAAGTATAAAATTCAGCACTCCCAGCACTGCAAGCAACCAATAGAAGTAATCTAGCCTGCCCTTGTTCAGATTGTTCCTGAGCCATCTTTTCTTACTTGCCATGTCCACGATTGACACCAATAAGCTACTGACAAAATAACCCATTGAAAGGGTGGATAGGAAAAGTCCAGTGCTCATAGATTTCATTCTCTCTGGTGCCTCCCTGATGAAGAATTCCAGTTGTCCAACGTAGGCAAATGCTTCCCCTGCACCCACTAAAATAAATTGAGGGACCAACCAAAAAGCGCTTATTGTCGTATGATTTTTTAATGCATTCACCCTCCTTTCTTTCTCAACAATTGCAGAGACCACCATGGCAGCAATAGAGAAAACGAGTCCAATTCCAACCCTCTGAAGACTTGTGAGTCCTTGGACATTGTGGGTGAGTTTCCGAGCTAAGGGCACTGTGAGTTTCTCATTTAGGGAAGTAAAGAGGAGAATAGTAATAATGAGAAAAGCTGATAGAGATCCTGATGGGACAACCAGAGATCCAACGTTTCGGTTCATGAATGTAGCTTGCTCAACGGTGAAGGTATTCATTTGAGAATAAATTGTCCAAAAAAGGATACATGTAGACCAAATGGGAATGAGCTTGATTACCATTTTAACCTCCTCAACCTGCGTCACTGTGGAGACTATCCATGGGTTTTCCTTGTTTCCATCCTTTAAGCAGTTCTCATCTAGGATTGCTGCTTTGTCAAGGAACCTATCACACAAATTACCATGCGGTGAAAATATCTGTTAGCTTATGTGGAATCCTTGATATTTTTTCAAGTCTAGCTAGCTAGATTTGGATGAAGATAGATATATCCTGATTTCCTAGAATATTTCTTTTGCTTTACTGATTCCCTAGGATATGAATGTCACCTTTACTAAAAGTATAAATCATTCCTGATTTTTTCGTCGGAGAATCATATAATCCAAAATTTCATTGACCGTTAGATAATTCCATCTGATGCAAAATATTTTGATATTTCATTTGTTAAATGCTTCGAAATATATATTTTGTTCTGAAAAATCAATTCTTCCTTATTTGCCATCGGTATTTTACAAATGTCTGCAATTTGTTTATAGGAAATTTCGTAACAATGATACACAATTTCTGAAAGATTTAAAGAACATGAAGTCAGAAGATATACTCCCAACAAAATAATGAAACGTATAGGATTTATAGCATGGACGTGCACATGTATTTTTATCACAATCTCAATAATTAACTTTCAACTAACTGATATTATATTCTGTCTTTTAAAATACATTCTGGATTTTAGAGGAGTCTAATCACAACGCGAATTGTTTGGATACGCAGATATGTCACAGTAGCATTCTCGCCAAAATATCTCACGGGAGTGTTAGACTTCCTGTGTTGCTACTCATTCAACTTTCTAAAAAGGTCACAGGCATACACAATTGAATACGAAGTCACCAGTGGTAATTTGAATTAGGATAAACTCCCCCTTGTGGAAATGGGTGCAGAATGAAGACTGGGTGTCAAAAGGTAGTGTGTATCTGTAGGTGTGCAACTAAAGGTGTTAACTTTTTTTTTTTAAATTCCCTTTTGTTGGACTGTTAACCAATCAAATGTAAAATTTGTCCTTTTTTATAGGGACAACGAACACTTCTGTTGCACCAAATAAATGTAATGTAACAGTGATCCCGTGAAAGTAATCACTATCAGAACCACAAAAATTATAAGAAAAAAAAAATGAAATTGATGTGCAATAATTGAGGAGAAAGCGATTCGTGCTTAAATTAGTCACATTCCTTGCATTAAGAGAATGATAGTTACCTGAACCTCTGTGTATGTGGCACCTTGGCTTCAAGATAACCATTGAGTAAGCAAGGTTGTGAAGGGATTGGACGATTCCTCTTCTTCCAAGCCAAAATTAATACCCTCCATATAACTGTTAAAGGGCTCCCTTGTGGCCTCTTGAATCGATAGAATGGTGTACCACAAAGCAAAATACCAACAGCGACTAACATTGTCCCTGCTGAAATTCCATATCCCCACCCTCTTCCTATATTGTCTTGCACATAAACCAGCACTACCACTGAAAATAAGGACCCAATACTGATGAAGAAGTAGAACCTATTGAAGAAAAATATCATCCTCCTTTCTTCCTTGGGGTCTGTTATGTCAAACTGATCAGATCCAAAACCTGAGACATTAGATTTTATTCCTCCACCACCCACAGCTATGGTATAAAGTGCTGCAAATAGCATAGCCAATTGTTTGCCACTGGCCTGCATGCACTCATGGTGTTGTCTTCTGACACTGCTGCATGGAGGGGGTCTCATGGTTGGAATGGTGGTAGCCACAGTTAACAAACACACCCCCTGGTCCAAGTGACGAGAGAACTAGTTGGTTATTTTCGAGAAATAATCTCTTATTTTTCTAAAAAATTTACATAAAACTGATTAAAATTAATATTTTTTTCTTAAAAATTAGCTAAACTAAACATGCATTTAGTGTGCTTATAAACCAAAAAATGGAGAATTGATTATATCTAAATATTCAAAACCTTTTACTTACCACAGTAGCTATGGTTGCAGATACAGCAACAGTCAGGTATCTACCAAGTTTGGCATCAGCTACGAAGCCACCAAGGAGACCAAGCAGGTTGAGAGTTCCCATAAAATTAGTAACTATAGTGGCAGAATTAGCTGAAGGGAGATTCAAAACTCCAACCAAGTAAGTCACTAAGTTCATGACTATGCCCATGACACATATTCTTTCTGCCAGTTCGGTACCTGCATAAAAAAAGTATATATATATATGTGTGTGTGTTGGAGCCAAATAAGAGTCCTTAAGTGCAACCCTGAAACAATAACTCAAATTTCTATGGATTGAGGAGAACCTAAGATGAGCCCTGCTGCTAGCCATCCTCCAGTTTTTGTCTTGTCAACAGGGTGACCTCGAAAATCCACAGCAGCAATGCCTTCTGCACCTTTTTCTTCTTCATTACTTGTAACTAGAACCTGTAAAAGTTGCACAAGGGCAAAGCCATTAAGTCATAAACAAAGTCTAAGCTTTGACCACTTAAAAAATTTGTTGGAAATGAAGTTAATACCATGTTTTATCTTTTGTTGAAGGGATAACTGCGGAGAGTTTGAAGATGTGTATGAGTTTCAGCTCCAAGGCATAGGAAATACAAATGGTGTGGAATTGAAGAGTTAGCTATGTCATGGCAAAGAGTTTGATAAGATATTGGGCATGAGTAGTTTGCAACAGGTCCACTTGATGTGATGAGTGGTCTTGAGTGCTGAATCTGCATGCTTGTGTCCGCATGTTTTGGAGTTTTATATGCTATTGTTGTGTGGTTTAGGCCGTACTGGTCTAATGAAAACAAGACTTGGAAAGTGATAGGACTTGTATTCCTAATGTGGCTCCTAACCTGCCATCAAGAAGTCATAGTCATAATGAACAACTGAAAAAAGTAAAGCAACTATTAATCTTAGTTCTTCTTCCCTTCATGCTTGATGAGGTAATTATCATGATTCATGATGAATAATTGGGAAGATATGACCTTTCTATTATATGGTGTAGATTTAGGCTGGTTTACTTATTGCATCAGCAAAATTTAATAGAGTAGTTTTTGCTGAAAAGCTTTTGGTCTTTTTGTTATAGATGAAGAAGGAAATTGAAGCTTTCAGAGAAGTGAGTGGGTATACATCTGTTGGCGTTAGACATTTTCTAGAACTAACAGATTCAATATCATCTAAAGGAAAAGTGCTTCCTTTAATCTGCATGAATCACAACACCACAACTCTTTAGTACGTGGCAAAATCAAAGGTAAGGTTCGCAGAAAAGGAGATGAGTCGACCGAATTGCGTATAATACAAAACTTAGGTGTGATACTCTAATTACTGTTAGAGCTATTTTTCAATACATATTAATGTTAGTATAATCATATTATGTGTGGCCATCAAATTAAAGGCATCTGAGATAATTGTACTCCGCTTGAAAAGATTATTATTCCCAACATTTATGAATAATGCTATGTCACACATATCTAATTATGATTATAATTATTTGTATTTTATTTTTATGCATTCAACAAGTATACAAAGTAAATTAAAATTATAAAAATAATAAAAATACTCAAAGGTTAGGTAATTGTATTATAATACTTGCTCTTGAAACACCTGTTAATTTATAATATTTATTTTTTAAAATATTATGCATATTATAAAAATTATTTCTATCTATTTCAGATGCAATAAAATTTTTCATTATTTCATCATGATTTTTTAGTGAATATGCATATAATAACATTATATGACATTAATATAGTATAATGTTATATAATATTGATGTTTTATTTATATTAGAAGTGAAATAGAGAAGAATGAAATAAAAAAGATGTAAATAGAAGAGAAAAAAAGTAAAAATTATGTATTGAGCAAATATAAATTGAATAGAAGGAAGTGAATAAATGAGTGAAAACAAAATCAATGATATAGAAGTATTTTTTACAATAACTTTAAAAATAAATTTAATTTAAAAAATTAAAGTGTTGTCATATATTTTTATAATAATATAAAGTTATTTTTTTATCTTTATGTTATAAAATAAAATATTTTATTGTTTAAAAAATGAAAGAAAAAAAAACTGCAGCAACTCACGACTGCATTTCATGTCTCTCTTCTGTTGACTTAATAAAATTCCCTTGACCATTTATTTCAATCCCAGCAAATTCGTTGAAACCAAATTGTAAGGTAAATGGTGTTAATTATTTTATTTAGGATTTTTTAAAATTATAAAAAAAATTATAACATATATAATATTGTACATAATGAAAATTTATATATTATAAGTTTTTATTAAAAATTACATAATTTAATGCAATACATTGTATTGATATTATCAAATAACTATTACAATTTTGAATAAAAAGGTATTATATATGATTTTTTTTTTATGTTAAACAAGGAAAACAAATCAATTTATAAATGTTGTAGAATATTCATAAATATCCATTACATGTATAGATGTTCCGTAATATAAATAGAGATGAATATTGAAAACAGTGTCTGCCCGCAGCCTGCCCTACCTTTTCCCCATTGACATCCTTATGATAAGTATCCAATATCCAAAAAAAATGCTGCAAGACAAATTCTAGAAAATATTTTATTATATTAAAAAAAATTATAATTTATTTCACACCCTTTCACACACAAAAAAAAGAGAGTAAAATATAATATTTTTATAAGACTCCAATTCAAACACTACAACTTTGAGCTTTCTTGTATGAATTAGTGTACATCAAAATTTTAAAGAAAATAAATTAAAAGATAGTAATAAAAAAAATATTGCAAATGCAACTATATCAAAGAGAAAAAGAAAAAACACTAAAATTCAACAAGAAAAATAAACCCACCAATACCAAGTAAAAAAATTAAGAGATGAATTTTAAAAAATATTATACTATATAAAAACAATAATTAGAATTTTTTTTCCCTACATGAATTTCCCACAAAAAAATATAAAACATGATATTTTTCAGTGAAATCATATCGAATATTACAATTTTAATTACTAAGGAAATATAAAAGTAACAATACATCCATTGTATTTTTCTCACCATCTTAAAATTTACTCATACTTTTTTTTCCCTCACTCTCAAACTTTCACCAACTTCTCGTAATTAAGAAGTTTTTTGCTTCTGAATTTTCTGATGTAGTCCCTCATCTCTTAGATCTTTCGTTAGACTGGTAAAAAATATATAGAAGCATGACCATGACAAAGCTTTCAACCTTTGCATGCACTGCTTCACGTTTTTTAGTTCAGTGAAGTTTTCCAGCAACATCCCTCACTGATCATGGTTCCATTTCCTGGGTGAAAAACATTTTGCAGTTTGCATTTTAATGTTTTGGTTGGACCCAACATTTTCTTCAAACTCTTATTGTGATTTTGTCACCTCATATATATGCAAGGTGATGTTTCTTTGGATGTATATATATGACATAATTTAACATTCAACTTTTTTTTATAATATTATTTTTCTTTTGATGTAACATTCACTTTCTTCTCTAATTTTACAAGAAACTTCTAAAAAATACTATTAAATAAAATTTCTTCTAAATTTTTTTTTTCTAAAATATTACTTTAATGTCAAACTTACAATTCAAAATTTGTTTGAAGTCTTTAATTATAACTTACTTTTTATCCAACACAACACTTTTAACTCTTATAGAACTGAATAATTTGAGCAAGTCATAGTCAGAGAGAGGATAACGATCGTGATGCTCTTGTTGTTTTCAGTTTTCAAATTTGATACATCAAGTTTAGTGGAAGACAGAAAAAAATACATGCTTAACACTATGCATTTTTTTCACACATTTTATTTTAATTAGAGAAAATTATAGTTTTGTAAGTTTTTTGTATTTAATTTTTGTGGTGAAATCCATAATCCATTATAAGTGATAAAACATATTACTTTTTTTTCATTTTAAAAAATATTATGCTAATTATTTTATAATAAAATAATGGCAAACTAATATTCATTATTCAACCAATCAAATTTCATAGAAAGAATGTAAAAAAATTATAGTATAGTATATAATTTATCTAGGACAAAGAAAACATAAATCTTGCGTCATTATAATTTTTTTTAAAAATTGTGGCAATCACAAAAAAAAATTTCAAAAGTAACAATAGGATAATGGAAGATTTAAATTCCTCAACAAATCCACAAGTTGCAGAAGAAGGATGTCACTTACATTCGTCCGCCAACTCATGTCCTATAATAATAATAACAATAATAATAATACATCTTTATAATATTACACAAAATAAAAAATTATTTATAATATTTTTTATTAAAAATATAAATTTTAATATATTTATAATATTTAATACTATAATATTTTAAAAAAATTATTATATATAAATTTTATAAATATACAATATTGTACAAATAAAAAAAAATTATAATAATAATAATAATAATTTAAAAATATAATCATACGACCTAGATTTCTCCTCATCTCAACTATTTTTTTCAGCACTTTTATCTCCATTTTTTAAAATTTATATTTTATAAAAAAATTAAAATAATATTTCATGGACAAAACAGATTAGCCCACCTTTGATATCTGTTCATGATTAATACATGATGCAGATTCGAATCCAAATATATGTCATAGTCTATTATTTGTAAGTTTCGTATAAACTATAAATTGTAGAACCAACCTTGAGTACCCTATTCTCTAGGGAACAAACTCTCACCTTAATTTGCATGTATTAAAGAAAACACTATTTTTTGAATTGTATTCGTTACCTGCCGTGATTATTACTATTATTATGATTATTTAATTTAAAATCAACTACAAACAAAATAATTATTTCAATACATTTTGTTTTTTAAAATAAATTTATAACATTTTCTGCTTTATTTAATAATAATATGTTAATAAGTAAATTTTAATTATATTAATTTATGTATTTGACACTTACTTTTATTTTCTCATAATTTTAATTCAAACTAGTCCAACTTTGCCAAGAAATTGATTTATAAGGCATGCGTGACATGCATAAGCGCAAATCGCATAGGTGCGTGTTATATCAGTCACAGTGTGTGGATGAATAAAATCTGAAGTGTGCATGACCAAACACATCTGCTAAAGATGTTCCTATGAATTTTTCTTACATTTGTCAGTATCAACGTTGCTTAAAATGGTCAAAATTACCTGTCCTTGAAACGCGTCTCTGTCCCTGTCTCACCAATTATGTGTAATTTGAACAACATTCTCATGCTTGTGTTATCCAAGCTTTAAGTCTCTGTCTCACGGACTTGCAAGTGATAATAATCTCCCAAGTAATTTTAAAACTAGCACTTTTCTAACATAAAGTAGCCAATTTACAAGTGAGTAATTATTTTTAATTAATTAAATATATTTTAAAATTTATAAATAATTTAAATTTTTTTTTATAATTTAACAATACTAATTTTTATATATTTATTATTTTTCTGTAAATATTTATAAAATTTCTCTTTAGATATTAAAAACATGTTATTTTATATCTTCAAAACTTGTTATTTTTTATTTTAAAATTCTATTATCTTTTCTAAAATGCATTTTTTTCATATCATGTATTTACGTAGTAATTTTAAAAATATATGTATTCACATATATCAATATAATTTTAATTTATAATAAAAAAAATTGAATAAATAAAATATTAGATGTAATTTTATATTTTTAGTGTTCTCCATAAATCCTATATTTTAAGTTAATAATTTTTAGAATTAAAATTTTTACATTCACTTTC